GAAGTCGGATATACATAGTGAACTCTAAAAGAATGTTCGGTAGGAAAATTCTTAGAATGATTTTAAATTTCTAAGGAAATTCAAAAGTGCTTGATAATTTTAGCCCCAAAGTTAGTAGTTTCTGTGCATAATTACTCAATTTTAATTTTCAAATAAGTCGTAATAAGTCAAAGAATGATTTACTCCAGACATATTCACACTTTAAATAATATTATTTCAATCTGAATCTTTTTTTGCATTCAAGACAAGTAAATTTTAAATCTAAATCATCCTATTGAATCTATACTGTTCTCAAAACCAACTATTATTTGGAGCCAAAAGTATATAGTTAAGACAGTATGGCCACAAAATATTCAAATATTAATTTGGTAATCACAAAAATCAGCAATAAAATATGGAAATAAATTGAATAAGAAATTTAATTGAAAAATAAAATGAATAAACTTTATTCATAACTCATATTTTATCATGTTATTATTATTGATTCATTATTTTGGATAACTTAAGAATAGATTCATTTTAGTATAAAATCTTCAGACAAAAATTCCTTTCACAAATAGATAATCCTAATTCTATATATAATTCAGGATTAATTGAAAATAGAGAGATCTCTTACTATTCTTTCAAGGTTAGGAAGCATGAAAAAATAATTATTTTAAAGCTGATATTGAAGTTAGTGATTACAACATAAGAGGTAGCAATGAAAATTGTCTAGAAGAAGAGTAAGGAGTGGATTGTTTGTGTTAAGGTTTGGATGTCTGCTGAAGGCTGACTTTCGAAAGATATCAGATTACAGCACCATTCCTTACCCTATTAATTTAGGTATTGATTGGAAGGAGGGTTAAAGGAAGTCTGGTTAATCTGTGGAAGATTTGCGATCCCATTTTTTTTTATTTATGTAATCAGAGGGTTGAATCCCAGCTTTGTATCCAAGGTTTCCATCAAGTTGTAATCCTGAGGAGTCAAAAAGATTATATTAGAAAATTTGAAGAATTATTAAATAAATTCTAAATCCATAATAAAAATACTATCATTTTTATTAAGAACTCTTTGTATCTTTAGGAAGATACAAAAGTTAACACAATAGTATAACTCGAGGGTCTGAAAGAGATACTATTAGATTACGAACTAGCTCCCAAGCAGTAAATAATTTCTATTAAAGGACTAACTTGACCTTACTATTGAAGTAAATTAAAAAAATTGCCAACAATTATTTAAATCTGATCCAATATTCAAATTTTCTAGGATACTATATTTAAACCAGTTAGGAAACCTCATTTAGCTTTCTCCTTCCTTTATTTTTGAAACAAATGAAATATTTTTCAAAAAATTTATATTTTATCCTAAATTAGAACTCAATTATGGATGAGGGAACAAAATTTCATTAATTTATTTGCATTTTATTGTACCAGAGTACCAGAGGAAACCAAAATCTATGAAGAAATGTGGTAGAGAACAAAGACTTATATCTTAATTTACATTATATCATCATCGTTTTTATTTGATCTGAAAAAATCATTAATTCAATTCTTCAACTAAAATTGTATTTTTTCTTATGCCATCTGTGATTTTATTTAAATAAACTGAAATATTAGAAGAGATCATTAATTCTTAAAATAGAAATTCTTCAGTATATGGAAGATTATTACGATATGGAAATTTAGATTTTTGCTTAAAATAAATAATTCTAGCGATAAAGATCTTTTTTTTTAAGGATGAACAAATGATGATAGTGATAATGATAATGATGATGATGAAAATGTTTTTCCAAATCAAAATTTTAAGTCACATCTCATCATAAATATTGCCATTAGTATTCATTTACTTATTAGCATTATTTTGATTGTCATTTTACATTTTAAATAAAGAAGAAGAAAAAAAAACTAAGTAAAGAAATGCTATATTCATTATTAATTATTATGATCTAAATATTAATAGAGCATAGTAAAAAATTTATTTTTTTATCTATTATTTCAGAAATTATAACTCTAAAATTAAGCATCTAGTCTGTTAAATTTTAAAATAATCTATTTTAATAATGTCAAAGAATAAGTGTACNCCCTATTAATTTAGGTATTGATTGGAAGGAGGGTTAAAGGAAGTCTGGTTAATCTGTGGAAGATTTGCGATCCCATTTTTTTTTATTTATGTAATCAGAGGGTTGAATCCCAGCTTTGTATCCAAGGTTTCCATCAAGTTGTAATCCTGAGGAGTCAAAAAGATTATATTAGAAAATTTGAAGAATTATTAAATAAATTCTAAATCCATAATAAAAATACTATCATTTTTATTAAGAACTCTTTGTATCTTTAGGAAGATACAAAAGTTAACACAATAGTATAACTCGAGGGTCTGAAAGAGATACTATTAGATTACGAACTAGCTCCCAAGCAGTAAATAATTTCTATTAAAGGACTAACTTGACCTTACTATTGAAGTAAATTAAAAAAATTGCCAACAATTATTTAAATCTGATCCAATATTCAAATTTTCTAGGATACTATATTTAAACCAGTTAGGAAACCTCATTTAGCTTTCTCCTTCCTTTATTTTTGAAACAAATGAAATATTTTTCAAAAAATTTATATTTTATCCTAAATTAGAACTCAATTATGGATGAGGGAACAAAATTTCATTAATTTATTTGCATTTTATTGTACCAGAGTACCAGAGGAAACCAAAATCTATGAAGAAATGTGGTAGAGAACAAAGACTTATATCTTAATTTACATTATATCATCATCGTTTTTATTTGATCTGAAAAAATCATTAATTCAATTCTTCAACTAAAATTGTATTTTTTCTTATGCCATCTGTGATTTTATTTAAATAAACTGAAATATTAGAAGAGATCATTAATTCTTAAAATAGAAATTCTTCAGTATATGGAAGATTATTACGATATGGAAATTTAGATTTTTGCTTAAAATAAATAATTCTAGCGATAAAGATCTTTTTTTTTAAGGATGAACAAATGATGATAGTGATAATGATAATGATGATGATGAAAATGTTTTTCCAAATCAAAATTTTAAGTCACATCTCATCATAAATATTGCCATTAGTATTCATTTACTTATTAGCATTATTTTGATTGTCATTTTACATTTTAAATAAAGAAGAAGAAAAAAAAACTAAGTAAAGAAATGCTATATTCATTATTAATTATTATGATCTAAATATTAATAGAGCATAGTAAAAAATTTATTTTTTTATCTATTATTTCAGAAATTATAACTCTAAAATTAAGCATCTAGTCTGTTAAATTTTAAAATAATCTATTTTAATAATGTCAAAGAATAAGTGTATCACTATTATGATAGAGATAATAAAAATAACTGGGTTCATCATAGATGTTTTCAATTATTTTATATCTGATTTACTTCTCCCATCCTATATCATTATCATAAAGAAGGTGATGCATACCAAAAACACGATACACATAAATATATAACATTCATTCACAAATAATGGAATTATGATTATTTTGATAAATAATTCTAAATCCTCAAAAATAAAAAAAATGAACCAATAATTCTGAAGTTCAAGCAGGAAATAGAGACCTAATTCAAAGCAAAGGTTAAACTAAGAGAACCAATTGCCCTAGTTGGCAAGCGGAAGAACATCGAGGGAAGGAGGATTTTTCTCCCCTACCTTAACTAATTATTAGCAATAATGTATTAGATTAGAACCCTGAACTAGATAAGATAAAGCAAAGCCATCGACTATATGTGCTCTCTTAATTTCAAAGGGAGTACAAATAGATTCTTCAGAACTAGGTGTTTAATTATTATCTAGTTAACTGATAATTGTTGATAATTTTTTAAATACCACAAATTAACATTCTACTCAATCGCAATTAATTAAAATCCTAAGAACGTTTCATAATAAGGAATAATAAATTGACTAAGTTCTTGTATAAATATTCCCCTAGGAACTAACTGATATATCACCATATATGAAATCTTATGGTTTAATTAATTAGTAAGGTGAATGATATATGTTCATAAAATGAGTTCTTCCCCTCTTTGGCACCTCTTTGTTATCCAGTTAGTGGATAGGCAATAAAAGGAGTCCTTCATATTATGAAATGGGGGAAAAATTTTATTCTAGTTGATATAAATAAAAAATCTATGTGACTCTAAGAAGAATATAGTTGATAAGTTTAATTGATAGTATAAATTATCCCTGCTATTTGGAAATAAAATAATTTTCTCACTTGAAAGTTAATTTGAGTAAAATATCTTAAAAATGGCTAGAGAGAGAGAAACAAAATTAAATTAATTAAATAATTCATAAATGCTTTATTAAAATAGTTAAAATGAGTTAGTTAAATGTAGAAAATTATAATCTGAGTGCCTGTAAGATAACAGTAGACTAGTCAAGCCTTAAGTCTTTGCTTAAGGAGATGTAAACTAATGAAATAAGGAAGAAAAATTAACTAATTGAAACCCATTTGACACTTTTCACTAGCTATACATAAACACTTATGTTAATGCAATAAGTAAGAAATCTTGAGATTCCAGTATCTCCCCTGAAATCTTGGCTTTGATGATATGAAAATATTGAAGTTCCAATCTTTTCAGAATTAGGAGGATCTCTTCATTGTGTCACATGTGGAAAATATCCGATTTTAGGGATGCATCAAAGTTTCTTAAAAGTGCTGATAAAAAATGAATGAGTATTAAAATAAAATAAATGAATATTATTAAAAATATCTAAAAGTTTATTCGATTACATAAAGAATTGATTCTCATCTATTATTATTTGCTTAAGAGATCAAAATTAATGCCATATTTTTTAGGAATTTGTATTGATTTCTGTTTATTTCAGTATCCTTGTTTGTAATTGTTAAATTATTATTGATAACAAATCCTAGAGTAAAAAGAAACATAACAGGTAAGTATTGAAAAAATTCATACGTAATAGTGACAGGAGGATCTGATTGTCTTGGAAAAAATATGTATCCAATTTGCTAAATAAGGATTCAATATTTTGAGAGTGACAAAAAAGAATGAACTCTATAAATTATTAAAACATTTTCAAGTCGAAACCATAATAATAATTGCGGATTTTACTTAAAATCCTTCAATAGAATTTATGAAAGATTTAACTTTGAATTAAGATATTTAGATACTTCAACTTTGGTAAATGATGCCGATTATTAATAAAATTTAGAATTTAGATGGAATAAATATGTTGTTAACATAATTGTCTTATTCATTTTCTAAGGTTTATTCTTGTATAGCTTGTGCATTTATTTATTTATTATGGTATAATGATAATCAATCTTCTTCAGAGTATAATTGTATATGTGAATTCAGCATTTAAGCCAAAAGAAATAAACCTGGTGAGTGAGGTATAAAAGAATTTTAGGTATGAACTTATAAAGCTTAACTTAATTATTCGGTATACATGTTGTAAAATAATATATTTAAAGTAATCAAAAATTTTTTGCTTCTAACTATGAAATATAATAATAAAAAGAGCATAATAAATTAATTATCTTCATTTACTTATCAACAGCTTCAGTTCTCTATGCTAAACAAACCAATATCAACAACTATAATTAAAATTAAAAGAGCAATTACTGTTACATAATTTTAATCATCCTTTCATCAAATAAATTAATTTTGCTAATCATTAATCCAAATGATAACTTTCGATAGCAAAAGACCAAAATTCTGCTTAAATACCAATATAATGATATAAATCAATATTCATATTACAAGTTTCATTCATTATTTGATTAGAAATTTAAGTTCACTCTGCTCTTTTTTTATTTAGATAACACTTAATATTTTCTGCACTTTGATAGCAATAAATAAAAATTTAAAAGAAATATCATATAAGTTAATTATTTCTATAAAACTACTTTTGTCATCTTTACCTCTATACATATTCATCTGGAATATTTATATATTTTTGAATATTAAAATCGTATTGCTCCCAATATTTATGTAGATGATGTCATATTAATATTGAAAATAATATCTTATACTATTTAATTAAGTATTAAGACCTCATCTCAATTTAGAAGTCATCCCCATTAAAATCGATAATTCTTAAATACTAAAGAATTTCTTAAATTTTAATTTTAGTAATTATCATTTAATTATGAAATTTTGTGTTTTTATTTAGAAAAATGTTACTTTAATACATTTTATTATAAAGTAATTTCATAATAAACTGGTAGATTTGTTAAACAATACATATCATATTGAGTTCTTAAAAAAAAGAAATTAGGATAAATAGATTTGATTTGAATTATATTATAATAATTTAAATCTATTTACTTTATATTTATTTAAAGAAGTGTTAGAAGTATACTATATTTAATAAGACAATAATTATGGTGATGTTATCTATATAGTTTTTTATTGATTCATTTGCTTATTTTGCAATTATACTAATGCTTAGCTAAAAGTATTTCAATTTAATAGATAGAGAATTCAAATTTGTTGTAATTCATATCTTAAGATTTAAAATCTTCTAATTTCAAGCATAATACTTAGAAATATTATTTTAATATTAAATAAGATTTAATATAAACTAAAATAAGGGCAAACAAACATCACTGATAGGCAAAAAGCAAACGAAAATTATAAAAAATAAAAAGTAAAGGGCTTTAAATTAGTATAAATTTTTGAAAAAAGATGATAAATTTGAAGAAGGTTGCAAAGTTAAATATTTAATCCTTCTCCAAGCGATGCATAAACTATAAGAGGTTGGGATTCAAATTATTTTTTAGGAGAATTATTAGTATAAAAAATATAAGGCATCAAAACAATTAGTATAAAGCCCAACAACTGACTCAACCAGCAAATCATAACCACCGAGACCCCGTCGACACCGCATTATCAAGGGCCATACACCGGAGATAAGAGATGTATGATAACCCTAATGAAGTTTAACGAAAGCGATATAAATAAATCAGGCATATGCATTGGCTTACATTAAAAGAAACCTTTTTGGTTGATTAGAAAGAAACCATAAATTCTTATACTAAAGGTATAGAGATTGATCTTAAATGCGAATTTGCACCATGAATAGAATTCTTCATTTATTGGATCTTTATGATTATTATTTTAAGATTTCTAGATAAGTTTTGGAATGGAATCTATTCAAGAAGCACTTAAGGATTATAATTAGGCTTTATAATTCAAATCTCTGTCTATAACAATAGTAATAACATAAATAATTACAATAAGCTCAAGGACATATGAAATATTTTTGATTCAAGTCCTTTTATTGAGGAAGTTAGGAAAAAATAATGAATCCCTTTAAGATTACTAATATTATAACAAAAAGATGAAAATAATTTAATTATTGCCTCATTATATTGAACAACAAGAAATCTCCTCTTTAGCCTTATTTTTTATATTATCGAGCTTTATTTAGCGTTTATATCATACTTATAGGCAATGACATAAATCACTGCGTTAAAAATACTTCATTTGAATCAAATTAAGAAGATAATGAGATCAATTAATATCCTTACCCTATTTGCAATTAATTCTACTGATTGAAAATAGAAGTGCAAATGGCATCTTTTTAACTGACCAAAAAAAAGGATTAAAATAGAAAAAAATTTAGGGAGTTTGCTGAATAACTTGCTGAAATTAAAATGAAGACTATCTCAGTCATATCCTAGGTGAGAAGCTCGAAGATAAATGATTAAGAGATATACTCTTATAACCAGTTTAGTGCAATTGAATTAGAAAAAAATTTCTATGGCTAACAATTATAAAGATGCTAATTTTTTTGTCAAATTAATAGGTATTTCATTATTGATTTTAAAACTATATCACTATGCAATATTTTCTTATAATAAAGCAATCTAATTAGACCCCAACTTTGCTATGGCATATACTAATAAGGGTTAATAATAAATTATAATAGGCTATTCTTTAAAAATACAAGTTTTGTGATAAGAAAATAAATGATCAAAAGATGTGTAGTGATGGAATTCTATACTTTGATAATGCAATCTTATTAGATTCAAACTAAGCTAATACCTATAATAATAAAGATATATATATTATTATATTGATTTTGTAAACAATTAAGGATATCAGTTTGGATAGAGAAATTAAAGAAATATGATGAATCTTTAGCGAATTTCATTCATGCATGATTTATTGATTCAAAATATTCATAAGCGTATATGAGTAAAGGTAATATTTAATATACTAACAAGGTGATTAATAATGAAATATCAAAATAATAATTAAAAATGTCAAAGATGAAAAAGTAATAATATTCTATTGATACTTAAGTGAAAAATTTTTTTTTTCCTCATCAATAATAAATTTCTTAGATTCCTATCTACCTACATTTTCCTTTGACTAAAATCTCTCCTCCATTTATTTTATATAGATGGTTTGGTTATATATTAAATTGGATATAGATCCATCAGTGAATAACAAGTTCCTGAAAAAAAATTAGAAATATTCAAAAAAAGAAAACAAATTTATTGATACTCAATAATCATACTAAGTCAAAGTTATCCCTCCAAATCAAATTAGTTTTACTTAAATTCTAAGTTTCTGATAATTGCTTAATATGAACTGTTCATGATAATTTGTGATATTTCTCTTACCTTCTAAGTATCTAAATTAAAGGAATTCCAATCTGAATTAGGATTTTATATATCAATTTTTTATCCTAATTGATTATAAAATAAACATTAATAATCTTATATGGATATTGGAGAACATAATAAAGTTACATTTCCATTGTTTAGATTTACATAAATAGATATTCCATTATGTTCTTTATTTGCATGTAAATTTAGATTTCCCATTTTTAATTCTTTGTTGCATGAATATGTACAGAAAGTCTTTGAACAGAATAAGCACATTGAAAATCCTCCACGTTTCTAATCCTTATTATAAAATCCACAAGTAAAACATTTTTTAGTAAAGAATTTATTATAAAATTCTATAAATGTTAATCCAATTATACTTTTTATTTGATCTTCTAATTAGTATTAATTTATTAAAAAATATTAATCATAATTTTCTTATTTAACTATTTATTTTTGGAATTCTATAGCTTAGTAAGCTAATTCATCCTATATATCTAATGATAAAGCTAATTAAGTTTTAATTTCATTTCCTATATTATATTAATTGCAACTAAAAATGGCTTCAACTTTAAATCTCTACAAATCTTTTTCAATAACAACATATTTTTAAATTAAGGATAATATATTTAAAATCAAATTGTTTTCTGTTTGAAATTGGAATTATTCTATAATTTTAATTTTTGCTGCTTCCATATTTGTAGCATTCAATATTAAGAGTAATTAATGGAATACTAAATTTTTTTTAATTCCGTATATACTCTGATAAATTATGAAATAAAGAAATTAGCAAATCAAAGAAAATATTATAATATGTTTCAGAAAGAGTTTTTAATGTAGAAATTTGGTCTTCAAATAAATTGACAACTGAATTTTTTGTGACAAACAATTAAAGATCCTAATTAAAGGATTCTACATCTAAATTAGTCAATTACCTTTATATAGGTAAAGTAATTGTACAAGGTAATTTACACACAGGACATCCAATCTTAACCCAATCAGGATCATTTTATCTTCTATATTATTAATCACTTTCAAATCTTTCTATTAAACAAGAAGAATGAAAATAGTGTTTACAATTTGCTACTCCAATATCAATCAAATTAAATTAGTTATTTCTGAAACATTATAAGCGCTCCTTCGAAATGATAGAAAAATTTGAAGTTTAAGGTTTCTTAATCAATAACATTAAGACTACACTTGATTATTAACTTAGAGGTAATTTACATGATGAACATACTTTTCCATCATTTTCATCATTATTATCCTTAATTTTATTACTCTCAAGCATATTTTATATAAATTCTGATTTTTACAATTTATTATATTTCTCCTTAAATTGATTCTTCTTATTTTATAAATTAATTTTCGTATCTTTTACTTATGATTATTACGATATAACAGCAGGTGTAACAACAATAATTAATTTATTGATTTCTGATATCAATAGTTAAATTTTTTGAATATCATCTTTACTTTAAGTTTCTCTCAAAATTTATTCAAGTTAAATAATTAAAATGGGAGCATAAGTTTAAAATTCTTATTCCATAAAATAGTTTGCTGCTACGATTTAAATATAAAGCAACTAATATGCCTAAATCTAAGCAAATCCTTCTGTGATTAATAAATCGAGGTTTTTTTTAATATATTCTATCTCACAATATCTCTTTAAAATATTTTAAAGGATTATTCTATAATTATTTGTTTTAAATAATTCAACATCCCAAGATATACCATTTCCAAAATGAATCTCATTTTCTGATTTATTATTTTCGACTAATTTTTCAACAATTTAACAATTAATTGAAGTTTTAATGTTAAAAATTGCTGGATCATAAATAACTCTATATTCTGATTTTAATTTCAATTATTTTAATGTTTAATCTACTTCACAAATTTATAAGACATGATCTGGAAGATTAGAGCAAACTTAAATACCCATTTCTCTAAACTTAGACTCAATATCAGTAAAAGAGAGAAATGTTGAAAGATTGTAAAAATTTTAGATTACTTTTGCTAATGATAATTTCAAATCTCTTGGTAATTCTTTTAAGGTTGAACAACAAACATTATACATATCAAGATCAGAACTTAGAATTTTTAATAATAAACAACTATTTAATAATATAAATAAATATACCATAATATTTTATCACTTCCAAATTTCTCAATTTTTCTAATGTTCATTATTTTAATTAAATCCTAAAATCCTTCATTTTCATATAAAAACAAATAAATCCTCAAAAACGAACTATCAAAAGATTCAAGTATCACTTTATCTTATTAATTAGTCAAACCCAAATAAATTTATTCAATTAATTTATTTTGACAAAACTAAACTGAAACATAAATCTATAAACATTTTGATAAGACATCATAAAAGATAAACTTAAGTTCTTTCTTATTTTCTTATAGCACATCAAGTAAATAAGATTCAAATTTTGTTCCAGATGAAAAATTCTTCAAAAAATATAAATACGACAAGAAAAATGTGAATACTCTTTCAACAACAGTTATATTTTTGATTAAAACCAAATAAATTTTTGATAATCTATCAAATTATTCCTATAGACTCAAGTTTTTATTCTTTATGTATTTTTTATATGCCTCACTCAATTAAACATCAACTGATATACCTATACATTTCTTTTTCAAAATCTAATATGATTATATTAGTAATAATTTAGAAATATTTTCTTAAAATTAAAGGGTACTAAATTAAGAACTAAATAGTTTTTAAATTCCATCTAAAAACACTGAAATTGCCATCCCTTAAAAAATAAAAAAGTACACCATATCCTACAAATCTTATAGCAATATTGTTAAATTTTTCTCTAATATATCCAAATGTTAAGGTTTAATTTAATCATAACAATTTAAATAGGATGTTATTGTAAATTAATCATATTTAAAATTTTGAATGATTTCTTTAGTAATTTATCCATTTATAAACTGTTAATAATAATCTCCAAGTACTTACTGAAGTTATTAACCACAAATTTTATCAAAAAAACTATATTCATATCTTGATCTGAAGATTTATAAACTTTATAATTAAGAGAATGATGATATTGGTGCTTGAGAGTGTACTAAAATTGATAAATCTCTAATCTTATCATAAATATTTTAGACATATTGATGGCTAAAGAATATTTATTGTAATCTTTCTGCTACATATTAATTGTGTTATGAATGAATTTCAGAGAGATGCAATCCTATAGTAATTTCAGTTGATTTTTTATAAGCTTAAATATAGTTTTTCACTGCCTAAGCCATTTCCAAATATACATAATATTATGTATATGCAAATAGTAAACTCTTTATAGATTATAGATTAATTAAATAATCATCCATCAAATTATCATATTTGGTTACTTTTTACTTTTTCTGTAACCACATTGATTAATATTATTTTAAATAACTTACTTATATAAATTACTTAAATTAATAATCAGCATAAAACCTAAACAATAAACTATTTATTTATAAAGCTGGCTATGGTCCTTAACTTTCTAGTAATACTTGAACTTCAAATATATCTTCTAATATAGTCTGTTTAGACTCTTATGTTAATTTTGATTAAAAAATTTGTGATAGTAAAATTATGAAACATAGTCTTGATTCTGTAAACCAATAACACATTTTAAAAAGAATTGTATTTAAATATAATGCTTACTAAAAAATTCTATAGTATTCCTCAATATCATATTCAGAATCTATAACTTCTTTGAAAGGAGTTATCAACCACTTTTCACTTATGTGATAAAATTTTAGTATTCTAACATTGAATATATCATGATCCTATTTTATTCTTTTCATAAGTTGTAAATATATTGTACACAAAGTTTTTATGAAATTTTCGATTTTCTTTTTTAGAGAATCTGATATTTTATTTAACTCTTAGTTGTAATCAAACTTAGAGACTCCTTGATGTTTTGAACAAAATCCAGATGGTAAAATTATTTATTCATCTCCACAATCGCATGCTCCACCAATATTATTCTTTATTATACATTTGTGATCTATTCAATTTCAAAAACATACTTAGATGTATATCAGGATTAAAACATTTATAGCAGTACAAATGATGAGGATCAGAGGAGCAAGTAAAACATTTGAATGAAAGTTCTCCATTTTATATATTAGCTCCACAAACTGATTTTACTTGACTTTCTGCATTTTTCCAAATAGCAAATTCATCGTCTTCATCACTTATAAACAATTTAAATATCTAGGTTTCATCTATATCTTCTAAATAATTAAGTGAGAATGCCCTAAGTTACTCCTCTAATTTATTTTAAGGATCCTATTATAATTAAGACAAGATATTCATCAATAAAGATATTTATATTGATATATTAGTGATAATATTTAATTTTTTATTATAATCAAGTCTAATTCCTAATTTATTCTGAAATTAACAACTAGAATAAGAACTTTAGTTTTTTATTTATCTCAAACTTTGCGATCTATTTATATATTCAAAATTTGATATTTTTTCTATTAATTTTTAAAATTTAAGCAATTTATTGAATAAATCATAATATCTACTATTCATTATTATTTTATTCAAAAATTCTAAAATATCAAAATTAAGTTGGAACTTGATTTAATTATATTATGAAAGCTAATAAAAATCATTATAGCAATATTTTTTAATTGGCTACATTAAGCTCTGAGAGAATCTAAAATTATACCAATTCGAATCATAACTCAAGCTTTTGAAAGAACTCAATAATGAATATTATACTGTTGTTCAAACCTGATTTACATGAAATTTTTTTAAGGACTTATGAGATCTCAACTTCGATATAAATAAGATAGAGAGAAAGCACAAGAGGCTTAAGATGAGTTCTTAGAGTACGTCTAAAGGCAGGTCTATTTATGAAACTACCTTGAAAAAAGAGGAATGAGATTATGGCCAAAGAAAAATGGCTCTGAGATTTGGTAAGAATTTATAACAGAGAATTAACGATTAAAAGAATAATTGAAGCACTCAAATTATATTGATCATACAACAAGAGATCTAACAAATATCTTAGAGACTTAATTGGAAACCAACATAAAGAGAGAATTGGTTAATGAGAGTAATTTTAAATAAGCTGGAGGCAAGAGCTTGGAAAGCAATGCCGTTACGTAATCTTGATGATAATTTCAATCTTTAAAGAAACTCACCAGTACTTAGTATTTGATAGCTAAAGTTTCAATGTCTTAGATTAAGATTTTGCAATGTCCATTTCAATCAAGGATTCTCAAATAGGTATCAATATCTGATTTGCTTGAATTGAATCCTGTGGACATTCCTTTGTATGCATCGATAATTGGTGCCACTTCTACTTGATCTAAGATTCCATTTCTGTCTCTATTATAAAATTCAAAGAGACGTCTTGCAACATGTTTTTGTAGACTCTTCATCACATATTCCTCCTAAAGAAATTTGAGAACGGAGAACTGATGAAGCCATTGAAATTTTAAATTTATAATGAATAAAAATAAAAATGCAAATAACTAAAATGAGATGAATTATAATTATAATTAATTATGCAACATTATAATTTAGATTTGAAATCTAATCCTAATCCTAGAAAATTGACCAGGTAAATCAGCAACAAGAGTGAGTCAGCTTCAAGATTATCTGAAATCTCGGATGATAGTAGTAGATAAATGATTGATCAAAATCGAAGCAAATCACATAATCGCAACAATTAAAAACAACCTAGAATGATTCTATAGGAATAACTAAATTAAACTAGTAAAGTAACAAGCGAAATCAATACCTTAAAAACAACATTTAAAAAGACTAAATTTGATAGTACCTGGATTCATTCAAATTTTTTAAAGGCTTTGAAATCTGAAAGAATGAAATAACAATTTATAAATAATCTTTTTACAAATTCATATGTTTTAAGGCAAAATAAAAAATAGCTCATACATGATAAGTATATTAAAAAAAGCATAAAATAACCAATTTTAGGTATTTAAATTCTATAAATTTAAAGCGACCTATTCTCAATCCAAAATACCGGTTATCTCACCCACAAGTGGATTTATTATCATATGGGATGCAATTGGAACAATTATTAATTTTATAATTCTCTGGTTAACTCCATTCCTATTATCCTTTTAATCATAATCTGAAATATTCTCATTTTCAGCCCTATAATTATTCATTATTTTCTTCTTAATCAGTGATATCTTTGTAACATTAAATAAAGGAATCATAATCTAAGGAATTGTTATTAAAAAGAGACGAAAATTAATCTAATAATATACCTAAACAACTGCAGGTACGGACCTTTTGAACTTAGCGTTATAGATTATGATTTAATAGGATTTAGTTTAATATAAAATCTTAGGGGAATTCCTTACTTTTTGTTAGTTGATAGTTACATATAGGAAAATTGTAAAGTATTTTTCTGATTATTTTTTATTTGCCTTTTTTAAGGGGGCTTCAAGCTTCTTAATGGATTTATTAAGTTTGATTTTTTCAATATTTTTCTTTGCACATATTGTTGCCTGTTTTTGGCATTATGTAGGAATAAAATCTGAAGAAACTTCATGGCTTATAAGATATGATTTAATCAATGAATCCCAATGGAAATAATACAATTATTCGTTTTATTGGGCTACAATGACAATGACTACAGTTGGATATGGTGATATAACTGCCCAAAGTTAATTAGAAATAATTTTTGTGGACATTATTATGTTTTTATCAAGTGGAGTTTTTGCATATTCAATGAATTCAATAGGAATGATCTTAAAGAACTTATAAGACTCAAAAATGAAATATAAAAGATCTTTGTTATAAATGAATACATTTATGAGCAAGAATTAAGTAGAACCTTAAATTTAGAGTAGAATTCGAAATTATTTGAAATATTATATAGAGTAGGAACAAAATGAGAATTAGGAAGATGTAAATAGTTTAATTTCCTTATTACCTAAGAATCTATAACAAGATTTAAATACTGATATATAGACTAAAGTTATTAATAAAGATAAATTTGTGATCAACCATTTTTCAAAAAGAACATAATAATAATTATCAAAGATGTTAGAATTAGTAAAATTTACTCCAGGTGATTATATTTATAAAAAAGGTGAAATATCTGATAAGAACCTCTATTTCATTAAGGAGGGAGAAGTTGATATTGTTGATGAATAAAGTAAGATGAAATTTTCAGAACTGCAATAAAATTAACCGTTTGGTATTTATTAATTCTTTACCAATTTTCCGCCTAAGACTTCTGCTGTCAGTGTTGGTTTCTCAAACATCTATAAAATTAGCAGATAGGACTTTTTAGATATTTTACAATTTAACAGGAAAGATTTTGAAAAGTTTCATTATATCAAAGATTAAATAATTTTCAATTCGAATTATAGAATATTTGATTTACGATGTCAATTTTGTGATAGATACAATCATTAAGAAGTTGATTGCCCAATTTTAACATACAAACCAGATCTAGAATAAAGGGTATTGAAAATGGCTTAATAATCAAATGAACCAAACAGATTAAAAATAATTAGAAAACGAAATAAAGTTAATACTCTATGTTAACATTAATTGATTTGTAATTAAGTTAATTCGTTTATGGAAGATAATTATGGCTATTAAGTTTCAAATTCTTTACAAGTTGCCATAGCAGCTCAAAGATCGAAAAGTAATAATTACTCAGAACTAAATATTGAGCATAAAAAAACTACAGGGCTTATGTTAGATGATGGAGATTATGAGTAAGCTAAGCAATTATTTGCAGATAGTTCATAGAATAGAATGATAATTAAACTTGATCAAATTTCAAATCCAGATTAAGATTTTCCTTGTATGAAGCTAAATAAAAAGGAATCTAATAATTAAGTTAAAGAGTTTAATATGTTAGATGAATTATTTAGCAATAATAAATGGTTTCATTGTCCTATTTAATGTGATCAATATTAATCATATGAGAATTACTTCCCTTTAGGAAATATTGAATGCATTATTTAGTAATTAGATAATATAAATACTAAGTATCAAAAAAAAGTGTAAAAATATATCTAAAGTATGAAAAAGTATACTTTTTTTTATAAAGTAAAATTAAAAGCACTAAAACTAAGACTGTTTTATATGAAAACTCTAAATAATGAATGACTTATAAAATAATTATATAAATTACAGTTCATTTAAGATGCTTTGGAAAGTTTTGAAAGGACAGTTATTTTATTTACAAATCTAATTCTTCAGCTTTTGTTAGTTTCTTTAAAGGTTGTACAGGGGTTATTGAATGCAAAGAAAAGTATTGCTTATTAATAATAGATTAAGGTTATTGTTCTTCTCTTTCTAATTCTTAGTCATTCGGCCTATACTCAGCTGCCAATTAACGTATTTAGTTTTAATTAAATTCAGCAATATTTACAGAAAATTCTACATACCCATTAAGATTAACACCACCAAAATATAAAATTTAGCTTCTATAAGAAACAGCAGTATGTGCAGCTCTAGGTCGAGGAATACTGCCAAAGATATCCAATTGTATCCATTCTCGATCTAAAATTTTGAATGCAAATAAATCATTAAAATATGGATTGTTTTTTTAATCATCTCTTCCTCCAAAGATGATGATAATATTCATATCTTGAATGTAAGAAGCTGTATGCTAAATTCTGGATAGGGGAGGTTTACCAGTAATTTCAGGTATAATCCAATTATTAAATGGTTAATCGAATTTCAAAATAGCTAAAAAATTGCTATAATATTAAGTATTTTTATTTTCATCAATAAAACATCCCCCAAAACAATAGACTCCTTCATAATCATAACTTTTTAATTATTTAGAACGTGTTTCTCTTTTTTCAAAGATATATTGAGGTTTGTTATAGACACACACTAATTATTAGAATGCAAGTCCTTTTATGAAAGGATTCTTTTGTGTTTCAAGAGGAGTCCATTTGCATAAACCTACATTAATTGATTGTAATACTTAGATTTAAATAATGAAGATCATTAAATACTTAGAATCTACTACGTATACCTCCCATTATTAATAAACCCCGTCCTATAATACAACTTCCAAACGATCTTCTGCTTTCTGGAATACACTCTATATTGGGTTTGAGTAATTGCCATGTTTCAGTTTCAATATCATAGATTCTAGTGTCACTTAAATTTTCTCTTATCTTCAAGGCAGAGTTAAATTGCATTTCTCCTCCATAAATAATTAATTGTTTTCCATTAATTGAATTTTATTGTTAATTGTCATACGAAAATTAAGTAGATAAAAGCATAGGATATCCAATACAATGCAAACAATGTCCATATCTATTTAAGGGAATATCACCTTTTTATTTAAGTTCTCTAAATTTCCCAAATTGTATTTCATATTCAATCATATCTCCAAATACTTCACTTCCTATTCCACCAAAAATATATATTCTCTTTTAATAGTCTGCTGCCATTGTATTTTCTCTAACTGTTGGTATCCATTAATGCTAGAGTTTGGTGAAAAAGGCACCATTATAAAACATAGGAAATGAAACTTTTTTCTTAACTTATTATTGACTTGTTTAGGCAATTTTCTCGAAATTCTGAAATGGTTCTACTTTATGAGGTATTCTCTTTACATATTTTTACATTCTCGTCATTGTTCTCATTTTTTTCTTTATATGTTTGAATGAATTACTATTAAAGTTTCTTAGACTTCCTAATACTCATATTTCTATCGGTAGAGTGTATTGCCCAATAATTAAACTATTTTCTTATTCTAATTTAAATCATTTTAAATGCTCGAATTCAAATTAGATGATGAATCCACTGAATTGTGAGGCAAGGGAAACTTAGGGTTTTGCTCATTTAAAGATCGAAAACTTATGAATTATGCATCTCCTGATTAAACAGTAATCTACATAAATGCCATAATTTTTACATTAACTTTCAACCTGTCGACAGTTCCTCGATTTGTAGACGATAAATCTAAGGTAGGTAGTTTTTATTGACTAGAAACTCGATTTCTCTCAATCATAAAATAATAAAATATTCAAATTTTTATATGAATTAAATTTAATGTTAGATAATAAAAACTAAACTAAAAGTGTACTTTTTGAGATGATTCTATTATAAATTATAAATGAATAGGTAATTAAAAAATATAGGAAATAAGAAATAAATATTAATATTAATGTGATTCATAGTTAATTTAACTATTAAAATTGTAAAAAGGCAAATAAATCTTTTAATAAATTAAATGACTAAATGCAATAATATCTGTTGGAATCCAGACGATGTATACTTAGCTTTAATTGGAGGGTGTTTGATAGGAGTGGCAACAAGCATCCACTACATGTTGATGGGTAGAGTGACAGGGTTTAGCGGAATATACTATAGTTTGATAACCTTTGATAAAGGAAGCTGGAATTGGAAATTAAGTCTTATGAGTTCTGTAATGTTAGCATCATGTATAATGTTTAAAATTTATGACTATGGGTATAATAATTTAAACTAATTTAGATCATCATCTATTTTGAATGGAGCATCCCCATCATATAACACAGAGTAAATGTTGACAGGAATTGGTTGGGGAGGAAGTGTCTTAAGTGGATTTTTAGTAGGTTTTGGAACTAAGATGGGAAATGGCTGTACAAGTGGACACGGAGTCTGTGGATTGCCTAGATTGTCAATGAGGTCATTTGTAGCTGTATGCACATTCATGGGGATGGGATTCATAACTGCTACTTTCAGATATTGGGGTATAAATAACTAATGAGTTTTACTTTTAGTCATTAATAAAGACTTCTATGGTCCTTTTAATAACATCATTCCTATTGGAGACTATCCAATAATATCTACAGTATTTTTATGCGCAAGCGTAGCACTCATAGTGTTATCTTTTGTGTTATAAAAGATATAAGATTAATCAAAGATTATTGATGTTGCTGTAGCATCTCTAACAGGATTCATTTTTGGACTAGGATTGGTTATTTCAGGAATGGTTTAGAGATTGAAAATTATAAGCTTCTTAACAATTAGTAATATCTGGGATCGTAATCTATTATTATATCTTTAGCAAGTCTAGCTTTTGTAATGATTACAGCTGTGGGAGTTAATTTCATCACTTTTAGAATTTTGGACAAACCAGTATTTAATACAAAATTCGAACTTCCCACTAACAAAACAGTTGATTTGAAGCTTATTCTTGGAGCTGCTTTATTTGGAATGGGATGGGGAATTGGTGGGTTATGTCCTGGACCTGCCATTGCACTATATCCTGAGTTCACAATTTAAATTGGAATAATATTTATGATATTTTTAGGAGTTGGACAAATAACTGCCAACTATGTTGTTGAAAGAACCAAAGATGTAGAAATAATGTCGAAACCATTGTTATGATTATTAATATATATAAATACATTATATTAATATGCCTCCGAAAAGATCACATCACAAAACTTATTCATCAGAAATATCCCCTTCAAATCTTTTGGCTTATCCTACTCATAGAGAAGAAACTAAAATTTCTAAATCTCCAACTTTACAATTTGATTTCAAAGTAATCAAATTCTAAATTTTCATAGACTAACCAGATATCCATTGAATAAAATTCTTTACTTAGATAGAATGGTTCCTCTTCTAATCTTCAATAATTATAATAATAGTAATATATTTGAACTATTATCTGAGGAAAATTATTCGAAAATTTCAATAATAAGATCTCCTTATATCCAAAGGCTTTATCACACCACAATATTTAAGTTCTAATCCTAGATTATTCCAATCTAATTTAAAAAGTAAATAATAATCCAACCACATCAAAACCTAACCTTATTCTAATAAAAATATATAATACTAAGTTTTAGGTATAGAAACTGAAGAGTATAAACAACCTTCATTTATTTCACAATTTTAATAGAAATTTTAAGATACTTTGCACACACAATAAGTAAAAAAGAATTCTTTATCTCTAAAATAAAAGACAGAAATACCTTTTTTAGATTTATAATAAAAATAGTAAATAGAGAATTTGTATAGCAATTAATTTCATAAATCATAAGGATCTTTTAATATCCAGAATACTTAGAAGATATCATTTCATTAGAATTAAACTCATTCAAAAAGTAATGGATTAGCAATTACCCCTATTCTTTAAGTTCATACTCCTAAAGAAGTCCTGACAGAATTTCATTAACTTGAATCTCTTACTGCAAGGTATTTTTCAATATAATGAATAGAAAGAAGCCCATTCTTTCTCTGGTTTTACAATACAAATTGTTAAAAATAAAACTATAAATTGAATTATCAACCCAAAACATTCAACATTTAGTCGATATAGTTAGGTAGGAAATAAATAACAATTTTAAAAATTGTAAATAAAAAATTATAGGAATCTAAACTTGCAATCTATCTATCCCTACAGATTATATTTTATCAATGACAGAAAAACCTTTATTAATTTTAGAAGGTTGTTAAATCAAACCATTAGTTATAGAACCTATTTTTGAAATAGAGAATGAAATTTAGATTTCCAGAGTAAGTTTAAAAGATTTTGAATTTATAAAATGTATTGGTATGGGAGGATTTTCAAAAGTTTATTTAGTTAAGGAAATAAAAACAGGAAAATATTTTGCCATGAAATTAATCGAAAAAGGTCCTATAATTTAATAGAATAAATAAAAAATAATTCAAAATGAAAGAGATATAATGTGTTTGATAGATGATCCTTTTGTAGTAAAAATGTATTTTGCATTTGAATCAAGAAAATACTTTGTATTTGTCTTAGAATATTGTTCAGGAGGAGAACTCTTCTTTTTACTTAGAAAAGTACTAAATTTTTATTTATATAGATTAAAAGAATGAGTGAAAAAGATGCTTTCTTTTATTTTTCAGAAATTTGTTTAGGAATGAAAACTCTGCATTCTAACAATATAATTTATAGAGATATTAAACCTGAAAATATATTAATTGATTTAGATGGACATATAAGGATAGCTGATTTTGGATTGTCTAAACCCAATATGATTGAAACTGAAGATGCATATTCATTTTGTGGATCCTCTGAATATATGGCACCAGAAATGTTATTAAAAAGTGGACATACTTTTTAATTAGATTTGTATTGTCTAGGTGCATTGCTCTATGAATTAGTAACTGGACTACCTCCTTTTTATTCTAGAAACCTTGAAGAGATCTATTAGAGAATTTTAAATTAGAAATTAAAGTTTCCACCATAAATCTAATTATCTTCATCAATTAAACATCTTTTGACAAATCTATTAGCTAAAAATCCTAAAGATAGAATTGATTCTATTGATACTTTATTAAACCATCCCTGGATGACTTAATGGGGAGATCAAAATTTATATAAAGATATTATTATTAAAAAGATTCGCCCTCCATATACTCCTGATTATTTTAATCTCAATTTTGATGAATAAGAGTTTGGAAAAGGAGAGAGTGAATTTTTATAATTTATTAAACCATTACAAAAAAGCATGAATGAAAATTTTCCTAAAGAAATTATATTAAAGGAATTTTATTACAATAAAAATAAAAATATAAATGAAGAAGAAGATTAAACAAATTATAAATTAGAGTATAAATAAACTCAAAAATAAAATTCAAAAGGAAAGAATGCTGAAGAGGATAGTGTGCCATATCATAAAGGTTTTTTGATGAATAAATATAGTAGTTATTAAAGACTACTTACTGAAGTTGAACCAAAACTAAAACTAGCATGAATACAAATTAAACTAAGAATGAAACCATATATCTTCAATTATTCCACTTTATGAAATATATGTATATATAATTAATGCTATGTTAATCAATGGACTACTTATTTTATAATAGTATACATAGAATAATAAAATTATCTAATTTTATACACTATTTGAAGTCATATTTCATCACATGAATCTACAGTTTTTATATCTCCTCCTATGGAATTAATCATATCTTTCTAATATTTTTAATTGCTTAAATCAATACTCTTCAATTAATCATATTACTGGCTTTATTACAAAGTACAAAATGAAAATGAATTACTAGTTTAGGATGATAATGATTATCCAAAACAGTTTGGAACAAATAAATAATTTTATAACATCTATTAACAAGGAATTAGACAATTTTATTGGTTTGCAAGTATGAATTGTGATTAATTTGATAGAGTAGCCTATTCTTTAGTATTATTTATAGTATTAATGTCAATATTAACTTTTTTTATTATAGTATTTAGTATAATATTTTAGAAATCTAATACATTGTATGGTGTCAAATAGATTCGATTATTTCTTTTATTAAAAATAACAAGACTGCTATGATCATTGTTTACATAAAAGTTTGAATCAACTTTTTAAATATTCAATTTCTTCTTATATAAAAATCTTTCATTAGTATTAATTTACAAAGAGTCATCAGGAAGGTAATCAAAAAAGTCATCTTTATTCATTTTTTATGCTTCTTTAATTTTTCCTTCCTGTAAATAAAGTTCCACATATAAATTTTTAATAGCTAACAGAATAAATTGGCATTCAAAGTTATCAATTTCTTCTATTGGTGTTGATATGCCATATTTTTTTGAATAATTTTATCTTAATATTTATACTTTCTCAAATAAGATTGGATTAATACTATTAATCTCTTATTTCTATATCTCTCTCTTTATCAATGAATTATATTTATTTTTTAAAGTGTTTTCTGTTCTTGCTCTACCATATAGAATAGATAATTCAGACCATTTCTTCCCTCTTATTAATATCATCTTTAATAAATCGATTTCCTATTATTTATCCCAAGGCACACTAATTTATATATTTGATACTTAGATATGTTAGGATCTAATCTATTTATCCATCTCTCTCTACATTATTTTGGCTATCTAAATACCTTGTTTGAGGATTGTTTGAATATTTCCTTAGCTATTTAAGACCATTTATTCTCTCTACCCGATTTCTAAAACTCTCTTAATATCTAATCATTTTCTTACTAATGTACTGAAAATAACAATTAATCTTCTTATTCTGTCCAAGGTATTTAAGATAATGGAACTCGATATCTTTATTCCCATTTCAATCTACACTGATGAGCATTCCTTCCTAAAATTATTTTAGAAATTTCTCTCCATTCTTCATATTTCTGTAAAGTTAATAAATCATTTACTAATAATCTATTATCTTTCAATCCTTTATATAAACAATATCGGATTACTATCCAATAAAATAACTTTTTTTCAATCTCACTCCATTTTATGGATTTCTTTCTTCCATTTTATCTTAAAAAATGAATATAAAAGTACAGATTTAGTTTAAATAATACTATAGCCTATTCAGCTGTTGGCCAATCTTTAAAATCTAATCTTAAATTATCACCAACTTTAGATAACATTTCAAAATTTTCCTAAATAAAAGATGTTTTTTCAATAAAATGATAGAACTCTTTGATCACAATATCTTGAGAAACCACTATAAACTCTTTTATTATAGCTTTACCCTTTAAATCCTCCATTTCAAAATTACTGGGCACATCATGATCATTTTTATTTTTAGTATTTTTTTGGGTATTCATTTTATTATTTAATACTGAAAAGAAACTATATTAATACTATATCAAAACAATAACGATTAATATCATTAATTACTTTTCTGACTTTTTGAGAAGAATTAAACAGCAAATCTTACAAAAAGAATCATATTATTTGTCTTGATTCTAGTAAATTCTTAAACTTATTAATAATATTAAGTTACTAGTATTAAGTTAATATTTTGATAATTAAATAGTATTTATTAATAATAATGGGGATTGTAAAATAATTATAATAAAAAGGTTTATAAAATTTGTATCGATCTCATTTATAAGTACGTTTATTCATTTAAACTAAAAATTATAGAGATAAGAATTTGTAAATTGTTATAAGTTAAATTTAGTACTGCATGGAACGATAATAAATTTAATTCTTTTAAATGCTAAAATTAAATAATATAAATGATCAAATGTCTATAAAGTCTGATTCATAACTTATGATTATATATCTAACAATGATATATATATATATTTTTTTAAATTATTTTTCATAAATTAGTTGATCAAGTTACATTCATTTTCAATCACTCATAATCATTTAATTTCAACTTTAAATTAGCTATTTTGAATCCCTCTATAATATTACTTTACTTGTAATACTTATAAAATTTTATTTTATGTAAGTGGAATAACTTTCACAGGTTTATTAATATTTTTGGTATTAAAAATGACAATTAAATTATTAATTAAAATGGTTAATAAATATTTGAAATTTGTATATAATTAATATAAATATCCAGGTACTTCAAAATAATTTTCATATTAGTCCCAATTCTACAATGATAGAAATTTTCAAATTATTACTTAAATTTAATCCAAGAACCATTTCTTAATTAGAAAATATATTTTTATAAATTTAGCATTCTTGTATCCCATCCTCAATATATCAAATTAATAAGCTCTTAAAATATTAAACCTTCTCTCCCTTTAAAAGTTTTAATGAATAAATTTGTTACTGGTGAGAATTCAATTTGGGTTTGCAATTTTTTTTTTACTTACTTTTCCTATATTGTTTAATTTTTACTTTCAATTTATCTGGATAGAGTTCGTATTTCTAATGCTCTTTCGATATTAATAGTAATGAGAATACCAATTTAACGAATTCAAAAGAATCTAAGTTTTCTAATTGATAAAGTGCTCTCAATAACTAAACGATTCTCTCTACTTTAAAATTAAGAATTGGAATCAATTATTTTTCTTATAGAATTTGATATTTTATTTTATAAAGCAAAAAGCAATTGTTGGGTTTCTGTCATTAACATATTTTGATAGTTGTAATATAAAGATATTATATTACATCTTAAACAAAAATTATTTTTTAGTTATACTGATTGTTTTAATCAAATTTTCCATAATTATTATTTAAAAAGATATTTATTATCTTATTATAGTTTATTGGTTTGATTGCAAATCAAAATTTTATGCTTCAAAATCAATGCCAATATTATCAATTCTTTTACTTCTATTAATTATCCCAAAAGGTATTGTAATTCTCACTTTTTTCTAAGTACAGTGAGACAAGTGATTGAATCTTAAATTGAAAGATTATCACTTAATCACTTATTTTATTTTTTAAAATATAGAAATACAATAACTCTAAAGACTTAGATGATAAATTCGAATCATTATTGTAAATTTCTTAAATCTTTGATTAGATTTTGCAAATTTTTATCATTATATTATTATATCAAAATATTAGTTTCTTCCTGTTTTTTTATACAGACTTGCTATTTTACTAATCTTATTGTCCAATCAATAGTATTATTACTGTAAGACACAGGACATTAATTTTAATCTGCTATAACCAAATTATAATAGCCATTTCTTTAAATATTGTTAATTTCTAGACTATACATTGTCACCTTTAAATTTGCAATTTAATAATACAAAGCTTAAATCCAATATCCTTAATTCAAGAAATTAAAAACAATTATAAAAATATTAGACAATATATTATTAAATGGGGTACTCATTTATTGGATTATTTTATAATTTCTGAAAATTGATTAATGGATGATTTCTTCATCAAATTTAAAGATTTTTTCGATAAAGTTAAAGACATTACGAATGTGAGATTCACTTATATGAAAGAATTATATAATCTTGGGTTAGACTAATTTCCAGATAACTATTAAATTCTGAACATCCAAAAGAACAACTAGGCAAGTATCCAGTAAGGTGCAAATAAACTGAAGAAGAACTGGACTGATGATGATAAAAAAGTATTAATTTGGTTGGTTGGAAAATACTTGGCCTTTCAAAAGAGAGATTTTAAACATATTGTATTGAATTTGTTCATATGAATTATATAGAGTGAAAGTGATTGGATCAATATATCTTCAATGATGTAGAGAAGAGATGCCTTTCATTGTAAATAAAAATGGCTTCAAATGTTGAAACTACCTTTACAATAGGCTCCTTGGAGTAAGTAGGAAGATGATGCACTTCTATTAATTATTCAAGAATATTAGAAATTAAATAAAGGTAATAAATGGAGTCAAATTGCCACAACTCTTAACAAACGTACCGATACAAGTGTTCATAGAAATGGGAAATAATGTAGGGAAAGATGGAATAATCATCTAAATCCATCTATTAATAGGTAAGAATATAATTTATTTTAAGAAAACCTTGGTAATTATCTGAAGATTTAGAGCTTATGAAATTGGCCATTTTAAATGGAAAAAAATGGGCTTAAATTTCAAAATAGTTAAAACTGTAGAGAAGTGAAAATAATGTGAAAAATAGATTTAATTGTCTAATGAGAAAGGAAAGAAACAATAAAGCTTAAACTTTTTCTATATAAGAAGGTGATCATGAATCATAAGATTCTTTTTCATCTAATCCTTCAGTTGAAGAATTAAGTTTAGAAGAATTAAGAATTATCAATTAAATTATCAAAAAAATTGAATGGAGAATGAAATAAGACGGTTGTGATCCTTATGATGTTAAATAAGAAGATTTTGATTAACAATAAAAAAAGATTACATCAACTCATTAATTGAAAAATATTAAATAATAACAATAAGGGGAAGTATAAAATCTTGCTATTCAAAATGTGGATAATAACTAAAATGAAGATAATAATATTAATGATTATAAATAATAAGATAATAACAATAATAAATAATAATAAAACACCTTAACATTATAAATTATGGATTTTGCTTAAATTTCTTCAGATGAGTATTTATAATTATAATCATGCCTAATTAATAGAGAGAAAAATAGAATCTATTTTACTACTTAAGAACAAATTAATTAATTTTCCAAAACATAACCATAAGTCAATATTAATAAAGATTCAGTATTAAACTAAGAATTTCTTGGTCAATTGAGTAATCCTAGTCTACCAAGTTATAACAATCTGTTAAACAATATACGTTTAAATTAAAATGTTGAAGATCCTATATAATAAAATTAGTTATCTAATTAAGAGAATCAACATAGTATAAATTCTTACTTCCAACTTTTTCCATTCAATAACTATTAATAATAGTATTAAGGAGCTTCCTAAAGTGTAACTTAAAGATCAATCTTGAATTTTCCACCTAATTTGAATACTCATAATTTTTAGTAGGTTCCTAATTATTTTTAAGGATTCAATTATCATATTGCTTGCTATCCTTAATAATAATATAATTAATACCTGTAAAATAATGATAAAGCATAAGGATGAAAGTTAATGTTTCAATTTATAAATTATTTAATTATTTTCTAATAATCTTGACAATCTTTGGTTTTATTATATTAATAATATCAAACATTATTTAAAAAATATTGAAATTTTTAACATTAATTCAAATACTATCTCTAAACTTAAGTAAANCTGAAGATTTAGAGCTTATGAAATTGGCCATTTTAAATGGAAAAAAATGGGCTTAAATTTCAAAATAGTTAAAACTGTAGAGAAGTGAAAATAATGTGAAAAATAGATTTAATTGTCTAATGAGAAAGGAAAGAAACAATAAAGCTTAAACTTTTTCTATATAAGAAGGTGATCATGAATCATAAGATTCTTTTTCATCTAATCCTTCAGTTGAAGAATTAAGTTTAGAAGAATTAAGAATTATCAATTAAATTATCAAAAAAATTGAATGGAGAATGAAATAAGACGGTTGTGATCCTTATGATGTTAAATAAGAAGATTTTGATTAACAATAAAAAAAGATTACATCAACTCATTAATTGAAAAATATTAAATAATAACAATAAGGGGAAGTATAAAATCTTGCTATTCAAAATGTGGATAATAACTAAAATGAAGATAATAATATTAATGATTATAAATAATAAGATAATAACAATAATAAATAATAATAAAACACCTTAACATTATAAATTATGGATTTTGCTTAAATTTCTTCAGATGAGTATTTATAATTATAATCATGCCTAATTAATAGAGAGAAAAATAGAATCTATTTTACTACTTAAGAACAAATTAATTAATTTTCCAAAACATAACCATAAGTCAATATTAATAAAGATTCAGTATTAAACTAAGAATTTCTTGGTCAATTGAGTAATCCTAGTCTACCAAGTTATAACAATCTGTTAAACAATATACGTTTAAATTAAAATGTTGAAGATCCTATATAATAAAATTAGTTATCTAATTAAGAGAATCAACATAGTATAAATTCTTACTTCCAACTTTTTCCATTCAATAACTATTAATAATAGTATTAAGGAGCTTCCTAAAGTGTAACTTAAAGATCAATCTTGAATTTTCCACCTAATTTGAATACTCATAATTTTTAGTAGGTTCCTAATTATTTTTAAGGATTCAATTATCATATTGCTTGCTATCCTTAATAATAATATAATTAATACCTGTAAAATAATGATAAAGCATAAGGATGAAAGTTAATGTTTCAATTTATAAATTATTTAATTATTTTCTAATAATCTTGACAATCTTTGGTTTTATTATATTAATAATATCAAACATTATTTAAAAAATATTGAAATTTTTAACATTAATTCAAATACTATCTCTAAACTTAAGTAATATATTTAATTCGTTAATACAATTTTATTTTTATTCATTTGTATTAAATATTAAAAATATTACTTAACCCATTATTTACTTTTATCTAATGAAATGAAATATGAAAATGTATCTTTAAAAGTCCTTAATAACATTAAAATAAATATTATTACATATATATATTATGATATATAGACAATAACATCAAATTTTAATTTCCTTTCTTCTCTCTGGTTCACACTCTTCCTCCAATGATTCCAGAGTTTAAAGTAAAATAGAACCTAAATATGAATTTTTAAATCCCTAGAATAAATTGAAATGATTACTTCAAATGTCATATTCGGCTTAACAATCTTTGATATATTTATGTATCCACTTTGCTCAAGATTGCTTGGATATACTCCTAATTATTTTCTGTATCTGTTGATCAATCTTCCTTAATAATAAAGTAGGATTCCAAAATTATTTTATGTAAGCCTACTTAATTGATAAGATTCTGCCCATTCACTCAATTTCATAAGAATTTTTTCATTTGTAACAGATACTTTATTTTTATTTTCAATTCTACTAATCACATTAAGATTTGTGTTAATCAATTAATTTTAAACAATTACTTTAAATTGCAAAGGTTCTAGTGAATAATATTTGAGATATTCTTTTAAAGAGAAATCTGGATATTTAATAGTATCATCTTTTTTTAAACCAAATGCTTATGATTAATTTGAGATTATATCATCATTAAATAAACTTAATTCAAATATTTTTTATAAAGCATGTATCCTAGCTAAATCAAAGATGAATATTTTAGTATAATTATAATTGCAATTAAGTATGAAGTCTTCCTCATTTATTAAATGTGTAATTGCATTTAATAATACATATTTGCTTTCTGGTGAATCAATCTTTCTTTCTGTGCCATTAGATATTGTAATTGTGTAATTATAAAATGTTAAGGTTTCATCATTGGGATTAAGTTGATTATTCATTGAGATTAATCCAATATAATAATTATTCTAAGATTTATGACAGATTAACACACTATCTCCTAATCTTAGTGATGCAATTTTAAAATTTAATGCATATTATTTTTTATTAAGTAATTATTACTCTTCTAGAATTTAATTTTATTCACTTTCATTTTTTAAATCTAAATCCTAATTTATTATTTTATTTTTTCTTTTAGAAATATCAAAATTAAATAAGAAATCGTTTAAATCATCCAATTCTTTAGGGTCTTTTTCAAAAATTATCAAAACTGGTATTTTATCCTTAATCTCATCTATAGTATTTTGATATTTCATCTTCCTTTATAAAAATATATATTCAAAATTAACTTCCGAAGCTTCTGATAATTTTACATTATCCAAAAAGAGACCAAAACAAGACATAGGACACTAAATAAGTTTCGAAATTCTATAATAATTATAAAATATAGTACTCATCAACGAATGTTAAAGATAATTTAGGTAATTTTATAGCACTATTCTCAATTGCTTTATGAAATGATATTTCTTCTTCTTATTGAATACCATAGATTAATTGGCAATATTTACATACATTTTTCATTTCATCTCTTGCATATTTTTGAATATTATTTTCACTATCCTTTAAATGCAATACCATGATATCTTCTAATACTTCTCCCATACTTCTCAATCCTCCAAATATTATAAACTAATCCTTATATACAATGCAACTATGTGAAAATCTAGGTTAAAATATAGGTGTTTTTGATTTTGGTTACAATTTGCTCCATGTCTATAAATTTAATTTTTTATTACATACTCTCATTACTGTTTCAAAAATCCATATATCATTTTTTGGAAATATTGGCTTCTCTTCCTCATCAATATTTTAATCATCATCTTAATCTTACTCCATAGCTTCTTCTTCATTATCCTTCTATTAGTCATATTAATATCTAAAATATATTATAATCATTCTTACCCTTCTCCTCCAATTATAAATAAGAATCTATCACCATAAGAAACTGCAGAATGAGATGCTCTTGGAGTTGGTTATTAAGATCCATTTGCTTTAATCTTCTCAATCTTTATAACTGTATTATTTTCTATATTCTGACCTTTATCATCTCCTGATTCTAATTAATCAAATTTTGAATGCAAATCATTAATATTTTCAAAATCTAATTTGTATAAATCTTTATGAAATACTAATTGTTTATTTGACTATTGACCTTACCCTCCAAAAATATAAACACTATCTCCTATTTTATTAGCAGTATGACTTTCTAATTTAATCATTTCATCCCCTGTGAAATGTGTTACTTATTAAAATTTGTTTGTTTTTATATCATATAACCAATGTGATTCTGTCATTATATTTTATACTTAATCCCATCCTCCATAGATATATATCAGTCTTGATGATAAAGCTACCATAGAATGTCCTTCTCTTGCTTCCATATCTTTTGGTACTTATATTTCTGTCCATTCAGAAGTTTCAATATCAAAGCTCCAAAAATCCCCAAGAATTAATTCATTACTAGATCCCCCAAAAAAATATAGTTTATTTTACAAACATACACAACAATGAGAATCTCTACCTGTTGGATGTTTCAAAGATGGAGAATTCAATCTTTCCCATTAAAATGTTAAACAATCCATTCTATATATTTGTTCCCACTATCTAGGATTATCAGATTTCCCACAACCACTGAATACATACATATATTTATCGTGTAACACAGCTGTATGTCCCCATCTTTTACATGGATAATTTGGACTTTTTCGTTTGTTTACACTCAAAGATTTTGAAATCCATTATGCATTCTTAAATATTTTGGTAGGAATCATAGTGATCTCTTATTGAATTTAATTCATTTTAATATTTTATATTTAAAATTATTAATATTCATAATAATAAATACACAAAAATAACAATTTTGCATAACTCTTAGAATCATTAATAGATATAAACCAAATATAAACTTAATTTTATAATATTTATATACTTATTTCTAATCTAAAACTTATTAATATTCATTATACTCAAAACAACTACTTTAGTTTTCTCTCATACACATCATACCTCTACTTTAAAGTTATTGATTCAGAATATTTTAAATGGTTCCAAAGTTATTATTAATGGTAGGTTAATCATTACAACCATTTTTATAAATTATTTCTTTCATGAATAGATATATATTGAGATTTTGTGTAAAATTAAATAAATCATTGGTTTATATAAACATAATTCTGATTTTAAATTAATAATCTATGAGGATTACATAAATAGATAATTATAAACTATTGGTTTTTAATTTATACTAATAATTTATATTTTTGGATTGATATTTAATTGAATTACCCGTTTTTATGAGTATATTAATAAAATAATGAAATTGGCAATCGCCCTTGTGTTTTTGGTCACATTCGCATCAGCAACATCAACTAAAGATCAAATTCTTGCCCTTCTTTAAACAGGAACAAAGGCAAGTGATGCTATTGATACAGTGTTTGGATTACTTAATGATTTGATTTAATCTAATAAGGATGCTTAATTTGCTGCTGATTAAAAGAATGAAACAGATGAATGGGTTGGAGCATAGTAATTTTTTTTATTTATTTTAGAACAATTGAATAATTCACAAAAATCAAGAATCTCAACTAAAAATTGTTTTAATAATCAATTGAAAACAGAGCTTAATTTGAATAAGAACTCCATGACACAAAAAATTATCTTGCTTGGAATGAACAAAGATAAGATGAAATTGCTAGAAAGATTTAAGTCCTTCTTGACGAATAGTGTCTCAGCAATCAATTATTTGTTAGATCAATCAAATAAAATAGAGAAGCTCTTGAAGTTGTCAGAGTACTCAAATAAGATGTTGCAGGATATATTATTAATGGAGATTCTTTTGAATTAGTTTAAGTTCACAGTGTTGCTGATAAATTGAAGCAATACAGTAATACATTCTAAGAATAAGAATTAAAATCATTCCTTGAATTAGCTAACAAATAAGAAGATGGTTCTGTAAGCAGAGGAGCTACATTAGCAGAAAGAGTTTTATCTGTATTAGAATCACTTGAAGCTAATCTTTAAGCTTCACTTGATGCTCTTGAAGTTAATGAAATTAATGCTTCATGGGAATTAGCAGGATGGGTATCTTTGAGTGAAGCTGAAGTAGCAAACCTTAAAGTTGAATATGAAAGAAAATAAGTTTATGCAGACAGATTGGCAACTGTAAGAATTTCTATTAATTGATTTTTTTAGTAAATTCAAGCTGCCTTAGCTTAATAAGCCAAATCAAAGATTATTCTCTAAGAATCATAAGATGCTTTAGATTAAGCTTAATCTGATTTAGAAAATAAGAGAGCAGACTATGCTGAAGCCAAGGCTAAGAGAGATGAAGAAAATGCTATTATTGAATAAGTCATCATAATATTCAAGAAATAAGTTGCATCATGGTCAGGAAGATGAGATTCATCTTTTTATTAAATATATTCAATATTATTTGTTTAAGGTTCATCATGTTTATTTAATCTAATTTAATATAAATAATAATTTTATTAATTATAAAATTAAGATATTTATTGTAAGATCAAAAATTACAAATTTTAATTTATTTTATCAGCATTTAACTCCTTAAACTTATAATAATGCCTCTAAAAATGTTCTAAATTCATCACTTCTAGTCACTTTATTAAAAAAGTCTTAGGATATATCTCTTTTAATTCTAACTTATACATTATTTGGAAAGAATTAATCAATCATTTCATAAACTCTTTTATTAGTTCTTAAATCTTACACAAATGAAGTAAGGAACAAACCTTCTAATTCACTTTTAGAAATTTAATCATCTTCATTAATATCTATAAAATCAAAGAACATAAATATTCTTTATTCAAGTTATCCTGATTATAGAATTGTACATTATTTTAAGAATTGTTAAATTTCAGCAGAATGTTTTTTCTTTCTAAACAATTAAAAAGCAATTCGATTGAGAAAAATTTTGTCTTCTAATCTTAAAGTAGGATCTTCTGCAATTAATACATCTTTAACTGGTAATATCTTTTCAATAAAAATCTTAAAATCTCTAAATTCTAAACCTGAACTTTTTAAGTAAAAATCTCCAAATTAATTATACAATTCATTTAATTTAGGTTATCCACTTTGTAATTATAATGGTATGAAAAAATATTCAATTTTCTTCCAATTTCTTTTTGGAAGTGCAATTCCAATTTATTGTTTTAATAATTTTGATTATTCTGATACACCTACTTTTTGATATTTATCATCTTAGACTACATTTAATTCAATTTATTCTAAAATTTCATTTTTCTTCACTTTTAATTTAACATTATGTTTCATCTATTATATAACAGTGTGAACTTTATAATAGCATTATGCACAGAAATTCTCTTAACATTCTAAACATTCAAGAATTGCTGGAGTTTTTCCACATTCTTAACAGATTTAAATAATACACGATTTTGCTTCTAAAAATTGAAGTAGTCTTTTTGTCAACATTATATTATCAAATTGATAATATCTATTTTTAAGTACATTCAATACTATCATATCATACTCAGTTATTATTAATTTATCTATTTTTTTAAATCTTGATATGTTTTAAAACTATTATTCTAATTTATTTATTTCAGCATCTAATGATTTAATTTTTACTTCAGTTACTTATTCTAAATCTGCTTATTCCTTTTTCAATTTAGTATTTTCATCTCTATATATATAATTTAAATTTATTACCTTAATTCTTTAAAATGCTTTTCCATATCTCTTAATTTTTACTTTGCTTTTTCTTATTATTCAACTAATTCTCTATTATTTATTTTATCAATCTCTTCTATTACCCATTCTGGTCTATCTGGTATTAATTATCTTACAAGTATTTTTATTAAAGTGACAGCAATAACAAAACTTATAAAATACCATAATTCTAAATCATTTTATATAATCTAATCTATATCATTAGTAAACATCTTTAAAGTTGCATTTCTCTGTTTAAAATATAATAAAACATAATTTGTAAATACTCCTATTGCACTTAAAAATTCTAAAATATTTAACCACTAACCAATACCAGGCATCCTTTCAGATTTTATTCTTTTAGTCATATATATTAATTTATATAGTTTCATTTAAATTTCTACAATATTTAAAATTATCCCTATAAATGGACCTATTGGAAAAGCAGCTGAAAATAAAATAAAATATCCATAATCAGTAACTGCTTCCATGAAATAATCTAAAGTTCCTCCAAACTCATCTTTAAAAGAATTTAATTCAATAGCATCAGTATCAATCTTAGTTTCAAAAGGTTAATAAACTAATTTTGGATTCTAAGTTTATTCTTGTAATTTCTCCTCTAAAATCTCTTCACTTTCAACTTTAAGTACAGTTCTAGAAGCAGATTCTAAAAATGCTACTTCTATTGAATTGTCTTAAGATGAACGTTATGCCTATGACATTTTATTATTGTTAAATTCATTATAAGCCCAAAATTATTCAATTTCATCCAAAAAATATAATGATTTTCCTTTCTATTTTCTAAATTGTAGTTAATCTGAAGAAACTTCTTTAACTTTTGAAAAATACATTTTTATTTTAGTTCTAATAATCAAAGCAGGTATCAAAAAGTCAATTAATATATAATAGGCTTTCTTAACTAGAACAAGGGGGATAAGAAAATAAAAGATATCCTCCAAATTATAATCATTACTAGATACTATTATATACATCAATGGCATATATGAATTTATGAATCTAAAGAATACGTTCTTATAAATTAAAGATTTTTCATAACTTAATTCAAATTTATGATTTTCTTGATCAGCATACCATTTAGAGAAATAATGAAATAATATATTTAATATTTATATTGCAATAGCTTATAAAGCACCTAATAAAAATACTACGCCTTTGTAAGATTTAACTTCTATCCTTAGTATATCAATTCCATAAACTATTCCAAAACTTCCCAGAAGAAAAATAGCTAATAAAATCAAAAAGAAAACAAAGTAAGCTGCCAATTTAGTAATTTATTAATGTTTTGTTAATTTTTTTGTTATATTATTTATCTCTTCATCACCTGAAAATTTATTTTTCAAAGGACCTTCATAATAAGAAGATTCCACTTAAAGCATTTAATCAATACAACCCCATCTTGTATTGATTTCTGATGTTTTTCTTTTCCACAATTCTGTTTATACAGTTGACCAAATTGTTACAACTAATACCCAATATGGCAATATTTCTGAGTGAAAATCATATAAAATAACATAGATTTATAATATTAATCCTGGAATTGCAATAATTAATGAAATACAAGTAAGATAACTTATCCAAGCAAAAAAGAAGGAAATCTATTCTCCAAAATACAATCTCATAGTTGTTAATGAAGTAAAATTCCTTCCCCTACCTTCACTTAAATAATCTTTAATTTAACATATTGGTTAAGGAATGAATCCAAATAATAATTATTACCATTCCTTTTTAACTATTTAAATACCTCCTGATGTATGCATAGCATAACAAGAATCTACTAATTTTGATTTCATTAATGATTCTATATTTATTGATTTAAGTAAATGTTCATAAACAATTTTTTATCTTTAACTAGATCTAAAAGGTTCAAATTTATTTCTTTGTTTCATTTTAAACTATTCTAAATCAAAAGAATCAATTAATTTAATTTGCATTTCCATTTCTTCTGCTAATCTTTCTAATTTTTCTTCTTTTATTCTTAACATTATGTAAATGTAATCTTCTGAAGTAAATGAAAACATCATATATATTTCAAATTCTGCTTTTTATAAAAGATCTATTTAAAAGTTAATTTATTATTCTATCAGCTTTTTTTAATCTCCTAATTAGAAAGATTTTTTCATTTAAAAATAATCAATTAAATTAACTTTGACTGATTAATCAAATTTTAATACTATATCTGGAACAAATAATTAACTAGAAAATAGTATTAATTATTCATAATGATCATATGAACTTTTAGATTTTTTATTTTAATTTTATGGTTATAAATTTAATGGAATAACTTTATTAGTTACTTTTTTAGTTTTTTTTGGTTTCTAAATTAATTTTGAATTTTCTTTTGCATTTGAAGTTCTTAAATCTGTAATTTTGGCTGATTCACTCTAATCTATTTAAGAAATAGTTTATAATTTCTTTTTTGATTTTTATTTTCCTTTTATTTTTATTTTCAATTATAATTTATAATATTTAGACTTTTATTGAATATTTTCAGTTAAATTATATTAATCTTCAAAATTAGTAATAGTCTTTAATCTTTTTTGTTTATGTTTTTAGAATATTAATTCAATAGATCGTAATAATTAAGCTTAACTAATCATATATTTCTATTTTTTAATTAATCCATCATAATATAATTAAGTTGTAAAATCTCTAGTTAATTATTTAGCTCTAAAGAATTCATTATTTTCTGCTTCTGGATCAGCAAATTTATTTAAAAGAAATTTAATAATATTTTAATCTCCATTTAATGATGCTAAATGTAATGGTGTATTTCCATGATTATCTTTTACATTAATATTTAATACATTCCTACAAAATGTTTGTTTTGTTTAATCATAAAATAACTTATCTGCTTTTTAATCTTTAAGATTTAAGAGCATATAATTAACTCTTGCGAGTTCATATTTATATATTTAATCTTATAATAAATATCTCTAAAGTTCATGATAATACCTTTCTTTATATATTGAAGTATCTTTTCTTTCTAATAATAAGTTTATACCAGAAACATCATTTTTTGAGATATATTCTAAATAATTGCTTAATATCTTGAAATGGAATCCTTCTCTTCTTTTTTCTCTTTTTAATTATTTTTTTGATTATCCTGGATCAGGTTTCATCATTGACAAATCTAAAATTTCAAATTTGACTATCATTTTTAAAGCCTCTGCATTACTACTAAAACAGCAAGCATGAAGACAAGTTTATGAATCTAAAGATTTAATCGGAAACATTATATAAATTCTTGGTAATTTTTGTAGTATTGTTTTGATAAACTTATTGAATTTAGATCTGCAACACCAAAATAAGATTTTTGTATATAAAAGTGGATTTTATAATTCAGCTTCATATTTTGAACATATTTCTTAAAATTCTATATACTCAACTTCATTTTTTCCTTTCAATTCACCAATCCAAAATAATTAACATTCTTTTAACAAAATAACCATATTTTCTATTAATATTTCTAATACTTATGTATGTGAATTTTTGCCTGCTAAATCCATTGGGTATAAACCGTTATTATCACAAAGAAATGAAAAAGCTTTATTTTACAATAATAATTTAACACTAGCTTCATCACCATAAAATGAACACCAATGAAGTGGTCTCCATTAGTTATGAGGATTTACTTCATTTACATTTGAACCATTATCAATTAAAATTTTCAAACATTATTATCTATTTTAATGCTATTTTGAATCATTTAAAAAACAGCATATTTATATTGGAGTACATCCAAATATGTCTGGCTATTAAACATACTTCTTTACTTAATCTTATATTTCTGAAAATTTATAATCCTCACAATCAAAATCTATCTCTATAACTTCTTCATCTTCATTTTCATTATTCTTTATTTATGATATTTTCCTTTACATTTTAGATCTTTCTTATTTCTTATTATCTTTGAGTAAATTTTGATAATCCTATATTAAAAGTTCAAGTATTTTTGAATCCTATCTTAGAGCAGTTTAATGCAATATATTCCCTATATTGTTTATGCTAAAAAGTACGTTTATCTTGATCTTAAACTGTGAAATCACTTTCAAATCTTTAATTTTGATTTGATCCAACTCTCTTTACAAAATTGTCTTCCACAATAACATCCCATTATTCATCAATTTCATCTTGTCTAGAAATCTAATCAGATCTGATTGAAGGAGAACTAGGACTGCTATATTATCGTTATTGTTGAGGTGAATTATATTAAGCCCATGATGATTTTTATTATTAAAGCATTTAATATGTAATTTATAACTGTATATTTTAAAATTTGAGTGAAAGTCAAAAGAAACAAGACATTTTAAACTAAAATCAATTGTTTGTTTTTTCTACTTTAATTCTCGAAACTTCAAAAAATTTAGTAGCATTGAATTTCTTTCTGACTGCTTATAAAGAACTTAAATCTGCAGTTTAAAGTAATGTACATAATTCTTTAGCACAAGGTTTTAATTAATTTTCATTCTATGTTTTATGTGTAGGAGTTCTATAATTATTTAAAATATATTACCTTATCTTATTAACTAAAAATATAACTGATTAAGCAATTTAAGATGGTTTATATATAATAAATTTATATTCAACTAAAGCCAATTCCAGTATATATTAAGCTAACGCTTTATTTTTAGGATCTAAATCAGTTGAGTATTTTTGTAAAAATTAATAAGCAGTAGGATTACAGATATTGAAATTTAAAGCCTATAACATTAAACCTTCCATTTCTAAAACATCACTTTTCACATATGCATTATCTGTAATATAAACGAAATCCTTTAATGCAGGAGGATATATCTCTTCATATTTACAAGCAATAAACAAGGCTGCCACACCTACTAATTACAATCTCATTCTTGTCACTTAAGCTAAAGCTAAATAACGATCAATTAATGAAATTGTAATGTAAAGAGTTTCATCCTTCAACTTAAATTTAGCATGGACATCAACTAACCAATCTACAAGAATGGCTCTCATTTTAATGTTGATGTCTGGTTATTGCTCAGGTGTCATATATTAATTTATAATATATTTATTCTAAAATTAACTAAAATAATTACTTCCTCCATTAATAAGTGTTGTAAAATTTCATTCGAATATAATTCTACTTTTTATGGATTTAAATATTCCTTGCTCTTTTCTATTTCTATTTCAATAGGTATTTTTTCTGATTCTCTTTTAAACAATTTATTTTCTTTATCATCCAAACTTGTAGTAAAGACCTTTGGAATTATCGAAAAAGGTTTTTTATGTTTTTCTACGATCATACCTATTTCCTTGGATTAATGCAGAGTTGAATTTGCTATTTCCTTTCCAAAACATCTTTAATTTTCGATGATCATTCTGTTAATATTAAATAAATTATTATTATCGTTAAAAACTAAACTCCTATATATAAATTAAAGTGAAAAATGAATTTCTTAATTATTTTCACTTATCATTTCCATTTTATCACTCTTTTTGTTTTAATCATAAAACAAGAACAATATACAAAGAAAGTTACACATCTTAACTTTATTATCATATAATTTTGTATCTTAAATAATCTTTATTATTCTTTCAAAAATATAAGCCATTTATAGTAATATCAATATTTAATTAACATAAATAGACAATATTTTAGAGCTTCAATGATAAAAGTGCATATTTAATCTTATTATATAGATCATTATTATTTATTTTATATTTAATTATTTTTATATAATAGAATTGTTTACCAAGAAGTTATTACTTAATTCAATATATTTTAATAATCTAATTAAATGATTCATTAATATTGATAATGATATTAATAATAATGAATTAAAAGTCAAATAAAAACCAATAAATAACTTAAGAATGAATATATTGAATTATTTATTTATTAAAATTATATTCGAAAAGATGTGTGATCATTCTGATTCTTCTGAGTTTTATTCCAAGTCTTCTGGATAAGATTATAAGTAAGAGGTGCTTTTAAATTAAGGAAACAAGATCATTAGATATAATAAAATAGTGAAAGTGAAAATGACTCAATAAAAAAGAAAGCTAAGTTAAATGATGAAAGTGGATAAATTAAAATATCAAGAAAAGTGAGTGATGATTTAATTAAAATATTTGAAAGATTACCTAATGATTAAATTACTAAACTTTTAGATGTAATCAAAGTAAAAAATTCACGTATTACAAAATTCTATTTTTATAGCTGATTTACAAGTATAAGTCAATTTAGAAGATTTAATGCCAAAAGAAGATAACTTTGTCTTAGATAGTTAATCAGATTCTTAAAAGGGAAAACAAAGGAAGAGAAGAGAATCAAAAGAAAAAGAATGTAAATGTTGTAGATAATTTGTAAAACGTCATCATTGCACACATACAGGTTGTGAAAAACCTTGTTAAATCTAAGAAAAAATGAAGAAAAACAAACAATGAAATTTTATTAATTTTTATACTATACATCATTTTATTTATATTTAGTCAATTTTAGCATCCTTATTATATTAAAATTATATACCTTCCATATTTCAAATTTATTCTTTCCTGATCTAAACAGAAATTCAATCTAATAAATATTTATAAGAAATAATACCCTATCAAACTTTTTTTTAGGAATATTTTAATTCTTCCTGTATTCATTCTAAGCATACTATATAATACTAGATTTAGCTGGCTCTGGCTTAAGATTGGCCCATTTAAGAACTGATCTATAGAATTACAATATTTCTTTCTGAAATTTTGAGTGCATATGACTATTTTAATAATTATATATATATATATTATTTCAATTATTTAATTTTTTTGATTAAGTGATAGGATATAAATTTAATATTAATTATCGATTGAAATCTAAAAGAATACACTATATATATTATAACATATACAGAAAGAACTAATTACTAAAATTATAATAGATTCTTTTGAAATCTCTTTAATGGAATGATATTCATATAATTATAATTTATTTATTGTTAAGCAAAATAGGAAATCAATTCCATTTAATTTTAGTTAAAAATAATTTTTCTAAAATGATTTTACCTTCCTTATATTTTTCAGATTACTCATAAGCATGAAGCTTTAATATAGTATTTTATGACTTTACATATTTCCATCCAAGATAAGTTTAACATTTAATGCACATTAAGTCTTATGTTGTATGTAAACCAGTTCTTAATTTTTTTTCTTCTGGTTTTCCTGTTAAATAGTTTACACTTTTATTAATATTATAACTTTTTATACCCTTTTTCAAATAGAAATGCAGTTCCTGACTTTCCTGTAAATTACTAAAACTTAACTCAAGGTATTACTTTAGAAGTCAAGTAATCTTAGTTTGAAAGATGAACATTGCATTTCTTACATGCATAAATTTTCTTGCCTTCAAGGTATTCGATTATAATTTTTCCCATATTATATTTATTTTTAATAAATTTATATTATTGAATGCCTTAAAAAAAGGAAGGATTCTAATCTATAGGTGAGTTTTTGAGATTTTCATTATCCACAGATGATTAAGCAACTCCAGATCAAATCAAAACAGCACTTTTTTTTGTTAGATAAATAGTTTCAGTCCTTCTAGGATTAACAGCAGGGTTTTTACATTTATAAGGCATTTTGACAATTTTGGGATTTCTGTTTTTATCAATGGGATTTTCATATTATTATGTCTTCAAATATAAATAAGTACAAATTAGCATTATAATTAGATTGATGAAGATAAAATAGAGAATACAGAAATATACACAGAAGGATTAGGAGCATCAATTGGAGAATTTTTATTATGTTGGACCTTAATTCATACTGTGGCTTGAATATTATGAAATGTTACATATAAAATTATAGTATATATGAATATTATCATATACACGAGAATTTAATATTGTGTAAAAACTAAAAAAAATTGAATAAATCAAAATTAATGTCTGCAAACAGGACATTGTTTTTTGACTTTGAGCCAAACAATTAGACAACTCTCATGAAATTTGTGGGAACAAAGAGTCAATACAATTGGATCCTAAGGATTTAGTTAAATTTATAAGGGATTAGTTATTTCTATACCTTAAAGACAAATAGCACATTCAAGGTTATTATTAATACCCTAATCATCAAAATTTGAATAAATATTTTGTTCCCTTATTTCATTAGTGAATTCTTCAACTTAAGATTTAGTCTAATATAGTTATGGTTTCACATGAAACTAATAAAGTATGATGCATTATTGAATGCAAATGAAAATAGCAACACTTATACAAATTCCCAAGTTATCTTGAAGTTTAAAGATATTGATTGGGCAACCTCGATAATAAGAGAAAAAAATCAATATACAATAATCCTCTAGAAAGCAGAAATAAGTGATATTAGGCATTTAATTGTGTTGATGACATTTAATGATTTATGGTATTTTGTAAATGCATAATAGTTGATACATAAGATCCGATAGAATTGGAATTGTGAACCATTAAATAGTTATTAGTAAAGCACATCCAAACATCATAAAAACTTAAATTCCTAAGAACTCTACTATAGGGTAATCTTCTCTGAGGATATGATTCTCATATCTATATATTTTCAATAACCATCTATAATCAGTCAACATTAATGTCAGAGCATAAAGACATATCGATATCAATAAGAATAGGTTGAATTTACCTATTTCTTAAATATTATCTATGTGTTTAAAGAACAATGTGCAATGAAGAAGTAGAAAATTGAATTACATTTGTATTTTCATTAGAGTAGCCAAAGTTGATTCCTATCATAATATCATAATCACATATTTACGGTTTCATAATGTGAAGTTGGCATCTGATTAACTTTATAACGATGTACACCTGAACAAAAAGCTTTGAATATTGTTAATGCTGTGAAGATTGTCAAATAATCGATTGCATCATTTTACATTTTTAATTATTTATTTAATCATTATAAATAATAATCTCTATGTGCCCTTGATGCCTCTTCTTTTATTGCTAAGTTCTTTGCATTTCTTAATAATCACTGCTTCATATTTATTTTGATTTATATATTCAATCATGGCATTAATCATATATTAAAATCTTTTTTTTAAAATTTAATACAATGGTTAGCAGATTGAGAAAGTGTAGAAAAATGAGAGGACATGTATGTCATGGATACGGTAGAGTTGGTAAACACAGAAAACATCCAAGTGGTAGAGGTGTTTCAGGAGGTTTAACACATCATAGAATCAATTTCAATAAATACCATCCAGGATATTTCCAAAAAGTACCCATCTACTTCTATTCCTACTATAGACCGGTATGAGACATTTCCATTTGAAAAAAAATACACTTCATAGACCTGTTGTGAATATTGATAAATTATGGTCACTTGTCACAGATGAAACCAGAGAAAAATATTCTAAATCAAAGGACAAAGCTGCTGTTATTGATGTCACCAAAGCTGGTTATTTCAAAGTCCTTGGAAAAGGTAGACTTCCCAATTAACCAGTTGTTGTTAAAGCTAAATTCTTTAGCAAAACTGCAGAGAGAAGAATCAAAGCAGTAGGAGGAGCATGTATACTCGTAGCTTGATACATTACACATTACATCATTATAAATTACAAATATTCAATTTTTGCAAAGCTTTACTATTTAAATATGTTTTATAATCAAATCAAAGTTGCTACTACTTTATTTAATTATATTTTTATTTTATTAAATTTTTCACTATTTTAAATGAATATATATATTATAAAAAGATATAATTAAATAAATTTATGATAAAATTACCAGAAAATATTTAAACACTCAAGACTTCTAAAGATAAACAATTTAAAGGTAATTTGTGTTTTATTATTTAGTTCTTATAACATATTGTGGTGGATGAGGATATTGGTCACAATACAACTTGGCCTAATAATATATTAAATCATTATATCCTTAAGCCGAAGTGACAGGTAAGTCCTAAGATAAAGTAACAGGTGAAATGGAAATAACTGTAACTAGAAATGATGCTAAATCTGAAAAAATTCATTCTAAATTAGGTGGAGATGGACCATTTGGATCATAATCAGCAGAAAAGGCAATGAAAAAGTTAGTCAATTTTATTGAAAATTGAGAAAAAACATAACTATATCAATTAAATCATTTTAAGACCAAGAATGAAGAGTTCTTCTTAAATAAAATAGTTGAATTCTGATTAATAAAAATTGGATCATAAAATGATTATAAATCTGATATAAAATATTATTAATAAAATATCATTAATATTCTTCTTCTTCTTCTTCTTAATTCTAATTTAATTTTTCTACCTCCTATTTATTTTATATTTCTTATATTAATTATTCTTTATTTTATTCTTACTCTTATGATTTTTATCTATTTTGCTTAATTGATTAAGTACTTACTTAATTTTAAATTACTTCACTTTAATTAATTTGAAATTTAGATTTCTTTTCAACTATGCCTTTTGGATCACAATAATTCAATATCTAATGCAAATCTGATTTACTATTTTTTACACTTTTGGATTAAAATAGCCTTTCAACTTATTGTTATTACTCTATAAAAGATGGTTTACAAAGAGAAGGTAAAGAAAATTAGTATTCTTTCATAAGAGATTCGTTATTATTTTTGCTTTTATTAATTGATTCACTCATTTTATTCTTGAGCATTGTTGGCAACTAAGCATAAGGACTATTTAATGGTTATTTTAATAATTTAGATGAACTATATGATTTGAAATAAGTAGGGATTGATACAGATGCATTATTTGTATAATCCTTAATACTTAAACTCATAGCAGTTTTTAGATCATACTTTAAAGAATTCTCAAACTATTATGAACTTTTTAATTTACTTAATTAATTATATACTAATTTACCTCATCAATTATTATTCTTCATTAGACAATTAATCACAATGTTATTATTATTCTAACATTCTTTAAGCTAGTTATTCTTTAAATTCTTTTTCTTCTAATCTTATTTTATCAATTTTATCTATTTCTCTTTATTTTAGGTTGAGTTTTAAATTGAATTCCCATTCTGATATCTAATAAATATTTGTATTAAATACTTTTGCATATTGTTATTGTTTCTAAAATAATTATTGATCTCTTTTCTTTTAATTTATAAGCATTTCTAAATCCAATTTTTATTTCATCTATTAAGTTTGAAGATACTTCTCTTCCAACATATTCTATTTATTTTGTCTTAATTCTTCATTCAATAAAGCTTTATTTCTTTGAACCATATATTAGACTCCATCATTATTTACATCACTACTTTGTAGCATTTATTTCAACTAAATCCTTTTAGCAATGAGGTTACCTTCATTTAGTCATAAAACTTTTATTTTTTAGAGTAGACTATCTTATCTACTTTTGTCTTTAAGATATTATTATTTGCTTATTGCAAATTCAATTACTATTTCAATTAGTTTATTCTGTTTTCTAAGGCAGAGAGTTCTTAATTTTTCTAATTCAGTTGTGTTATATGTTAAGAAACTGTTTCCATGTGAATAAATTATAATAATGAATGATAATTTATCCAAAGCATTACAATTAAACGGAGTACTATAGAAACGTAGTCCCAGTATGATAAAGGGGTATCAGAAACGTTACTTCTCTGTCAGAAATGAAGGATAGTATCTTATATATTGGAAGAAGAAGCCCCTTTCTTCTAAAGATAAGCCCCAAGGTACTCGCATGCAGGAAATTAAGGTGTCCTTAGTTTGACTTCCATTTCCACAGTTGCCAATGTTAAGGGATCCGATACAGAATTCATTTTGGTAGTGGGCGATCGTTAGTTCTAATTAAAAGCAGAGACTGCTTCACAACGTGAATTTTGGGTTGAAAGCATATTGCATTTGAAGGAATATCGTTAAAAATTAGAAGGAGATAATGAACCTGTTCAATAAAAGGTTAAATGGGATGAGTTGGACAAAGAGACTATCACAAAAATAAAATTAGAAGTAGAGAAAGATCATTTAGAGAAATTCTCAAATAAGATTGACATTAAAAATGATGAAGTTATGAAATGTAAAGGAATATATCCATATCTCATAAAATTTGATGCAAAAACATAAGACTAATTCATAATTTGTGGATTTTTAATGAAAAAAGGCAAAAATACTACATTCACAAGAGCAAAGAAAAGATGGTTTATTATGATGTCATCTGTTTGTATTACAGGATAGGAAACAGATAAAGTAGGTCCTACTTAAGCAGACATACCTGATACTTTTCAATTAGATACTATTTATTATTTTGCATATGATGACAGAGGTGATAAAAGTAATTTTATTGCAAGAATTCCTGTTTCTGAAATTGAGAATATAGAATAGATAGATAAAACATCTGGATAATTACCTTATGGATTAAGTTTTGAATATAATGATAGAGTTTATTAATTCTTTTCAGAATAACTTACAGATATCTAAAAATGGATTTTAGCTATTTAATGTGTTAAAAAGAAACCAAAAACTGGATTAAAGAATTCATAACAATTAGAAAAGAAAGAAGAAATTATTTTCGAAGGACCACTTCAAAAATAATCAAGTAAAATTATTAAAGGACCTTTATCTTGGATCAATGTTAATGCTTAGTTAAAAAAGAATTCTCTTAGTTGGACAGCTAAAGATGATTCTTAAGGAAATTAATATGTCTTGTTGATTTACATTAAATAGGTAATTGGTAAGAGTAAATCATTTTAAGTAACTTATAATTCATTTATTAGATCTTCACAAATGATGATCAAGAATTTAAGTTTAAAGCATAAACACCTGAATTAAAAGATTAATGGGTCAAGATCATAAAAGAATAAGTTGATGCTTTAAAAGGAAGTATATAGAATTTAGAAGAAATATTGGAATTACCACCAGAAGAAGCCACCAAGATAGATTATAATGAATAAATTAAAGATGAGGATCTATATGATTAGGAAACAATAACTGAAAAATTTTACAATAAAATGACTCTTCAAATAGAGAAAAGTAAATAGGAAGAAAAACTTAAGAGTAAATCATTCATGTCTAAACTCCTTTGCTGTTTTGGTGGTGGTGAAAGTGAATATGATTATGTAAAAGATAGAGGATTTTGAGAATATTCAATAATCTTTAATAAAATATTATTTATTAGAATATCTTATTTTAATAGAGAGAAATAATAACAATATTAATTTCATATAAATATTATTAGTTAATTAAGAAAATAAATAAATTAAATTTCAAGTCAATTTTGGAAAATAAGATTCATTCTAAAGACAGTTCAATTCCTTAATCCTGAAATTGAAAAAACTAAATAGTAAAATATTAAAAAGTGAAGGGAGAACACTTAACCTCAATAACATATTGCAACTATAAAATCTATGCTATTGTAAACAAAGTTTTTATAATAAAATACTCTATCTAGAAAGACGACTATGTATTCAATCAAGGATTTTAATAAATAAAATATATGTAAATAGGAAAGTATAAAGTAAAATAATCAAGATGTTTCAGAAATTAATTATATATCAAACAATATCAAAATTTCTAATATCATAAAAATAATAATAAGAATCATACAAACAAATAAAATAATCTAAGATAATAATAGTTTCAATCAATTTTATAGCAATTCTAATCTTTATAAAATTTCTATTAGTCACCAAGTTAAGCAAGAATTCTAATGGAAGTTTCTTTCAGCAATAATTACTAGAAAGGATTTATCAATATCTTTTGTAAATTAAAAAGCTTTAAATAAAATAATTGTGAGAATATTTTCTTCTAGATCAGAAAAGTGTTTAAATTTGAATGGTTTTTATTTATATATTTTTTGGTAACTAAATTAAGAAAATTTTTATTTTTTTATTATTTTGATTATCGTTATCATTATTAATTTTTCAAAAAAAAACAATATATGTTAAAATAAATAAAACTTAGCAAATCAGAATCAAATGACTCTGTTAGTCAATCCTTTTTAGCTAATGTTGAAAAGTATAAATGTAACTTTAGATTTCTATAACTTTAGAAAGTAAAACTGATGCCATTAACATTTATGATTTAAATAGTATTAAATTGCAAGCAGATGTTATTCTCAAAAATATAGAAAATTAAATTAATAGTATATTTCATATATTAAATAGAATGTTCTTAATGGAAATCATAAAAAGAATAACATTTTTCATTGAATACTACTTAAACTACTGGAAATTAATAATAAGAAAGACATTGGAGCTCTTCTATTAACAAAAAAATTCAATAGTCAAGACCTTTTTCTGCATTATCAGGAATTGCCCCAAGAATTAAAAGAGTTGAAGATAGTAAGGTAAAAGATAAAATAGAATCTTAATAATAAATAATTGAAAAGTGTATTTAACCCTAAAAATAACCAAAAACAACTTTAGATTTAAATTAGTTATGCAATCAAGAGTTACTTATGGGAAATTTCAAATTGGAAACAATACTTGGATCTGGATCATTTGCAATGGTTAGAATGGGTGTTGATAAAAATACAAAAGAGAAATATGCTATTAAAATTTATGAAAAAATAAAATTGAATGATTCTTAAAAGATGAATAATGTAAAAAGAGAAATATCTATATTGAAAAGAATTGAACATCAAAATATAATTAAATTATATTGGGCAATAGAAGATAAAAAATCAGTACTTTATTATAATATAAGATAAATTTAGTCATGGAATATATTTCCTCATAATCTTTGGCTTCGTACATAAAGTCAAAGCCAAATAGAATCTTACCAGAAAAGGAATGTTTAACTTTATTCTATTAAATTGCTATGGCTATAAAATATTTACATGATCTAAACATAAGTCATAGGGATATAAAATTAGATAATGTGTTAATGTTAAAAACAAATGTTATTAAATTGATAGATTTTGGTTTTGCTATTTGCATGCCTCAGAATTAAAAAACTAATGTATTTTGTGGCACACCTCATTATATGTCTCCAGAAATCATAGCAAAAGTAATTTACTAATTTATATAATGAGATTCCTCATCATCCTTTTAGTTCAGACATTTGGTCATTAGGAATTTTGTTATCTAAAATGCTAACAGGAGAATATCCTTTTAAAGGATAAAATGATAAAGATTTATATCGTTAGATTTAATGTTAAAAATTAAAAACTAGTTAAGATAAAAAAATTAATGAAAATATAATGAGAATTATAAATGGATGTTTAGAAAAGAATATTTAAAATAGATGGAATATCGATTAAATTATTAATGATCCAGTGTTTCATAATGATATATTAATACCATCAATAAAAAGTTTTTGAATTAATGAATACAAATTATATAATTAAATTAAGTCATTATCCTTCTTAAGTTTTTGCTCTCCAATTTTATTATTGAAAACTTTTTTCATTTTTTAAAGTTAATCTTTATTTTGGGTTTTCCATAAGCTTAATTTATTATTAAATTATTACTTTTCTTGACTTTTTACTTATTGTAGGAGTGAAAGATGGTTTCATATTTTAAATTTATTATTCTATTTTAATTTATCTATTTTATTAAAATTATTCTATTCTTTAATCAAAATTCTTTCCTTTTAATTTGCTATCTAAAATCTATGAATATATATTTAAAGAACTACTTTACTAGATTATTCATTTAGCACTGGTTAATAAAGAAATTCATTTTCATTTTAAGATGCTTCCCAAAGTTTCTTTTCAAATTCCTTTTCAAAAAATTCAGCTCTTTTCTTCATAAATCTCTATTATTCTTTAAAAAATTCTTCTATTTAATCTTTACTAACCTTTTTTTCTTTAATTATTATAAAATTATACTTTATTAATATTATTATTCATTTAATTTTTGACTATTTTATTTTTATTTAGCTTCTTTATATTCCTTTTCATATTAATATCTTATGTGAATTGGAATTAAAGGATTACTTTTAATAGAAGTACTATTTTATGATTTTGATTTTTATTATAATTCTGAAGAATTATTTAATTTAGTATATATCTCTTAATTTAGATCAGTCATATAATTAAATTAGCATTCTTTTTCATTGTTTTACTTATCAATGCTTTAATCAATTTGATATTCGAGGTTAATTTTTGAATGTTATTTTCTTTTTTCAAGTTTTTTAAGTTTGGTACAATCAAAAGAAGCTTATATATTTTAATGTCTAAACTTAAGAAATTCATCCAATTCTTACTATATTTTTATTCCTTTCTCTAACTTTTTCTATGAACCTTTGCTAATTAATGTTTATTTCTCTTCAAATTAAAAGCTATTGTAAGATTATTTATTTCCTCTTTAATTTGAATCCCATAAACTAATAACATCATTACTCATTTATTTTTCTCTAGATAATGATAATTAGAATTTAGTTGAATTTGGATCAATTGTAATATTATTTGTTCTAAAGATTGGTGAAAAATGTTTTCTTTAAGTCCTTGGATTGCTAATTACTTTAATTATGTAAATTTTACATTTTTTATCCATATTCGTAGATGTCTCAAAATCAGAAACAGTTAACTCATTAGTATCTTAATTAATATAAGTTTGTTAATTGCTCTAATTCTATTCAAACTACTCTTTCAAATCTTTCTTTTCATATTCATAAATAGGTTTGATATGTTTAGAATTCACACCCTTCTATTTCTATTTCTATGGATGTAAACATTTTGCTTTAAAATATGTCTATTAGGAAAATTTTCTCAAATTCATTAAATTTAATATAATAATATTTGTAATTTTTGATCAAATTCTTAATTGCATTTTTAGTTTTCATTAAAGAATTTTAAATAATTTAATAGAAATTGGGAAAATATCTAATATTTTTTTTAGATATTTAGAATTTTATGAAATTATAGTTGAATAAAATATTATATTACAATCCCATAAGAAAAATTATTTGTGTAATAGTATATTATCTTATTATTTACTTAGTTTTTTAATTAAAAAGTTTTGGAAATATTTTAAGATTTTGATTGATTATAAATAAGATTAGGAATCTGTGCAATTGTCTAAATATTATTAATTAATAAAATTTATCTTTGATTTAAGAATCTAAGAATTTTAGATCATACTTATATGAAATTATATACAAGTATAAGGAATTTTACAGAATATTATTGGGCAAAGGATGAATTTATATTCATCAGTATTTATTAAGATATTAGATATGAATACACATATTAATTTTTACTAAATATCAAAACAATAATATTTTTAAATAAAATGTAAGAAAGTAGTGATAATTTCTAAGATTCTTAAAGTTAAAGTTCAGAATAAAGATAAAAAGGGAGTGTACCATCATTTTTAGTAAGACTCTTCGATATTATGGAAGTATTATCTAATAATTCACAATAGAATGATGATCTAAAAGAAATAATTGGATGGAATACAGAGGGAAACGCATTCATTGTAAGAAATCAATAATTACTGGCTGATAAAATATTACCAAAATATTTTAAACATAAGAATTATCCTAGCTTTTTAAGGTGAATTTTATTCTAAATTTTAGATAACTCAATATGTATAATTTTAAAAAAAGTAAAGCTGATGATATAAATTAAAAATTTGAACATAAATGGTTTAGAAGAGATGGAAGAGCTTTATTGACTAATATAAAAAGAAGAAATTAAGAAGAAAATGATGATAAAGATGTTTTATATATATTAAGAATCTTAGGAAATTCCACAAATAGTTGATGAAATTGAGTAATTTAAGAAAGCATAAAAGGAATTAAAAAATGAAATTTAAGCTATAGCTGATAGTTAAAAATAACTATAAATAGCACTATAATAAATTATGCAATAAAATGAAACACTATTTTAGGAAAGTTAACAATTAACTTAAGAACTATCAAATATGTAATCGAAAAATTAACAGAGATTTGCTAATTATTCCAATATATTAACAGAAATAGTTTAAAGATTATAATAAGAATAAGAAGAAGAATTAAGTATATCAGATTAATTATTGTAGGAAATAGGGATAATATATAGCCATAACTAATAGGAGAATAAAAAAAGGCCAATGTTATATAAATAAAATAAGAATAATCTAGTCAATAATAATAGTTCTTATCTCAATAGTAAAATAATTTATCTGCAAATTCTCTGCAATTTTTAATGAATATGAGTGCAAATAAAAATGCATTTAATTTTTAAATGTTTTCATAATTAAAGTAATAATAAATGAATCCTCAAATGTTTTAAAATGGATCTTCATAATAATAATAAAATGATGTTAAGAAAAATGATATCAAAAAGGAAAATGAATAATGATTATTGATTAATAAAATTCTAAATAATTTATATTTTTTTATTTTACTTTTATTCAAATTAAATCCAGAAATTAAATTAATTGTATTAATTAACAAAAACTTTAATTACGGACTTTTTGAATAAATATTATATAATTTAAAACTTTAAAGATTTCATTTGAAATCTATAATTAATCAATCTTATGAAGGTTCAAACCTTAGAATAGATTAATATTCCATTTCATTAAATCTTTCATTTTAAATAGGATTTTTAGATAATGAGTATAAATTATTTAAAACAAATTATTTTTAATAATCTTAAATAAAGATGGGAAACTCAAATTTTGTTTTAGATGCATTATTAACTAATTATCATTTATATGATAATCAAGCATTTGATATTTCAGAAAAATGGGTAAATTTACTTTTAATACATTCATCTCTAAGAAATCTTTCATATATCTATAGTCAAACCCCTACCTCATGGGTGTATTTTTTTGTGATTATAATTAGACCTTCGCAAGCTATTTAGATTGAATATTTTTCAATTTTTGGTTTAATTTTTGTGATTTTCCATTTTTTTTATATTTTGAAGCCTACTATAATTGGAAGTTCTTTTTTGAGCACTATTAATACATTATTAAAGGTGTCTCTACTTAATATAATGTTAGAATAATTCAAAGATTTATTTGGTTATATAGTTGGAAGCATAATTTTAATGTTTCAGACTTTCGAATATTTTTTTATTTAATGGACATTGAACATAAATTAAAAGAATTTTCAACTAGTTAGAATTAGTTTATTAAGAACGATTAAATTTCTTTTAGATATTATTTTGATAATTGGACATGAATTTAGAATGGATATAATTTTATTATAAGTGATATCTATGATCAATTCTCTTATATATATATTAATGATACTAACAGAAAAATCAGAAATAAATGAAATAAATAAATCTATAATCTTCTCTATCTAATTATTAACTATATATTTAGGAATTGCTTAATTTATAAAATATGAAAACTCTTATACTTTGATTTTAGTACCATTCTTTTTTAAAATTGCATTTAGAATGAAAAATAATTAATCTAATCTCAATTCTAAAGATCCAATTATTAAGGCATCCATACTACTTAAATAGAATAACTATTATTAATGTTTTATGATTTTACTAAAACAAAGAGAAACAAATATTTTCAGAAAAATTAGATTAAAATTGATTCTTAAATAAGCTGTAAATGAATTTAATTTTATTGCCAATAAAAATATAAAAGTATAAACAATATAAAAAGACTTAGCCTTAAAATTGATTGAAAATGATTCACAAACTTAAACAATTTCATAAGAAATAACATAAATTATAAAATTAAAAATAGAACTTCTATAAAATTGGTATTAAAATACAATTGAAGATATTATAGTATTGATATAAAAAATAAGAGATACTAGATTAAAATTGGATAATTTTTAATTCAAATAATCAGTTGGATGTATTTAATCTCTCATATTATTTTTTTATGCAGAAATACTTAATGATATTATATAAGCAAATGAAATTCTTACTCATACAAGAAAAAACACAAACCCAACAATAAAAGCTTCTTTTTCTAATAAAAAAATACGATATATGATTATAAATTTCTAAGATTCATAATATAATATTGAAACTGTATCTAGCAATGGTCCCTAACAATACAAAAATAAATTATTGAATGAATTAATTCCTTTTGGAGTTAGAGAACATCATGATGATCTAATATAAAATTTATTAATAACAGGTTAATCTAAATTTACTAGAAATTTCAATAAAAATTATATTGTTAAAGATGGATTTATAGATTCCATAGATTTTGCAATTGATATTATATATACTCATAAAGTTTAATTTATTACACTTTTTACTACAAGAAATATGAAAAATAATTCAATTACAATGATAACAAATGATAATTATGAATTAAAATCTATGTCAGAACCCTCTGATTCAATGCCATTTATAAAAAAATTATTTAAAATTGGAACATTTGTTAATAAAATAATAAATGAATTAAATTCAGTCAGTTAGTCATGTCTAATTGAAAGTTCCTTATACTATTCTCATCCAAATATAAGATCACGTTAAAGTTTTTATAATGAAATATCAGAATAAATGAATTATTATTGCGATGTAAATGTCATTATTAAATAAATTAATGGCCAAATTATATATTATATTTTAGAAATCGATAACTTTAGAAATTTCTTATCAATTAGAAAAGATACTGTATTATAAACTTTAACATCTTTTGCATCTATTAAAGGATTCAACATAAATTGTGATGAAATTAATTAGAATGAAGCTTTATTGATACCTTATTAATCTGATGAATAAATTAAAAAATTTGATGTAGATTTACATTAATTGATAACATCCAGAGATGAGGAAATATATTTCTTACATAATAATGATGTTGATAAGAATCAGATAGCATATGAAAAGTCTAACACTATTAATGAATAATAAATCAAGAATTAGTAAGATCATGAGGAATTCATTATGGAGATGAAATCACAATAAAGTTCATCAATAGAATAAATAAGACAATCATAATTTATTAGAAAATATAGTTTAATAAATAGATTTAATAATCATTTACCTTTGAAGAAGCATTAATAAATACTTATTCTATTGTTTATTTTGTGTATTACTATATCAATATTATTTATAATAATTGTAATTAAATTAACAATATTTTTAGGAGTTATTAAGTTTAAATCTTATAGGATTTGCAAGAGATATTAATTTATTGGAAATTAAGAATTTATTTTTTTAACCTTTAGATTTATTTTTGGCTACTAGATGGAATTTATGGACATACAATTATGAAAAATAAAATCACATTATTACATAAGAAGAATATGATGAATTATCAAAATTTTCAATCTCCAATTTAGGAGAAGGATATGATTAATTGAATTTCAATATGTAATCTGTTTTGTACAAATATGATTTGTAAAATTTGCTATAAAATAAGATTTTAGAGGTTTTTTCATACACAGACACATATAAAAATGAGAAATATAATATGTCTTTAAGAAGTGCTATTTAAGTACTTTTAAATTTTTAATATATTCTAAAAATGAACTATGTTTATGAAAAAACGGTCAAGGCAGACAGTCCATAGATATTTTATAGTTTTAAAAATTATCCATTATTAAGGGATATACTTACAGAATTAAATGATGATATAATGGTTGCAACCATTGCTAGAGGATAAGAATTTTAGTCAGAACTACTCACGTTTTTCATTTGCCAATAAGCAATATTATTTATGGTAGTTCTAATAATATTAGGATTAAAACGTTTTACAACAAACAAATTATAACTTTTTTTATCTCTAACATAATTTGTAGATGATATTTATTTATAAAAAGAAATAGTTAAATAAAAATCTTTGTTAAATTTGCTATTAGAAGATAGAACAAAATTATTTTTTTATAAATTTAACCTTTTTGAAAAAGAATCTTCATTTTTATCAAAGAAAACAGATAAAACAGTAGAAAAATAAAAAACACATCGGATGCTTGATCAAAATAAGATTCCTATAACTTAATTCACTTTATTTCTTGGTATATTTTATATTATCATTCTAATATGCCCTGTTGTGAATTATGTTTAATATATGAATTATTTAAAAAAATATCCATAGACAGCTGCCTATAAGAAATAGTTAAGTGATTTAAGTGGTGATATACCTTTAATGTTTGCTTAAAGGGAAGTACTTTATGGAAGGAAGAATTATATGTATTTGGATTAGGCTTATTTTGATACAATATTCTAATATGTTTAAGAATCTTTGAATTCAACAATAGCTTTTACATCTTCTAATGTTGATTTCTCTAAGTAAATATTAGATTTTACATAGAATATTAATGAGTGATAAATTTGAAACATTTTATAATTAGATTTAAGTGGAGAATCTATGTGAATATTTACCAGAATATTTGATAGATAAATCAAAATTATTATGTCCTATAACAATGAATGGGAATATGAAGAGAGGACTCAAAATTATGTTAGTTTATATCTCGAGTCTGATAGAAACAGATATGGCTATTAACAATTTTACTTATAGAGCACGTCCAACTTCTAATGAACTTGAAGGTGCCTATATGATATCAGAGATTATCAATGTTATAAATAAATCATTCTATGATGATTTGATCGATATTACAACATCTTTAGTTGAATAACAGATGGTAATATCGATTAATATATTTAGATATTCAATATCTTATATTTACTAGTATTGCTGGTTTTATTGATTATAATTATAACAATAATTCGACCAGTCATGTATAAAAATAGTAGAAATATCATTTAATTGATTTATCTCATTCCAGAATAAACTCTATATAATGATGAAGCATTTGAAAGAACTTTAAGACTCCTTTTAAATTTATGAACTCTTAAATTTATATTAAATTAATTAAATACAAAATATTTCATTTCAAATCATAATTCAATGGTTAACCTGTTTTAGCTAATTATTGAGAATTCCAATTATCTACATATACCTCTTATTCATCCTATTTTTCTTCAAAATATTGATATTCTTATTATTTATTATTTCGAATAAAATCAAGTTCTTTATTATAAACATTGATTCCTGTAACTTCAAGATATTCATTTGAATCAACATATCGTTTTTTTGGCTTGTCCTTTATTTTGTCTGTAAACATTTATTCTAACTTTTTACTATATAGTTTGTTGTGTTTATCTAAATATAGTGGCATTTAATTTACTATTTGAGATCACTTTTTCTATTTGCTAATAAGGATTTTCTATAATCTTAGTATTAAAGTTGCTTTAGATGTCTGATAATACAAAATTCTCTTAATAAGCTAAATGTTCAGCATCAGGGTCCTTGACAAATCGATTAACTAATCTACTAGAAAGAGGGAGACTCTTTTATTTAGGTTTTGTTATTAAAGTGAAAGGAGGTCTATCATCTTTATTATCATACCATCTTAGTCTCATATACCAAAGTCTATTATTATATTTCTCATCTTCATTTTTTAAAGATTCAATAATGCTAATCTTTTAGTTTTTTTCCCTATAATTGTCAGATCTAATCATTATAGTATTAAAAGGATTTCTTTCACAATTTGATGCAATCTAATTATTGAAAAACTCCCACTTTTCTTTTTATAAATCAAACTTATCTAATATTCTTTTATCTCTTGTTACTGCATTTTGGAAATGAAGTGGAAGATTTTGTTCATATTTTAATTTATCTTTTAAATTTGTTTCTATTCTTTTTTTAGCTTCAACCATTTTAATTAATGCTTCTTGTCTAGGTAACATTTTAAATTCTCCTCTTGGTTTTTTAGGTGTTTTTCTTTATTATCCCATTCCAGAGATTTATGATTATGATTACTATAACATAATTGGTTTGACTGATGATGGTACATCATCTGAAAAAGAATCATCACCATCTCCTTTTTTTTGTTTAATAACAACTTTTTATCTGTTTCTATTTCTTACAGATAAAAATTATTCAGGTTTACCAACAATAGACCATTTTACAATCTTTTCTTTTTTATCATCTTCAAATCTAGGCCCAATTTAACTATCAATGTATTTTTTTCTTTCTTCATTATTGACATCTATATTAAATTAATAATAAATACCATCAAAAATATTTCGAATACTGTGCATTGAATTCGGTTTCATGAATTTAGATGAAGTAGCAGTTTACGAAAATTTATCTTCAAAATTAAAATCACTACCAGTACAAGCAGCTGTAGCTAATGGCTTAAAGCTATCTTCATTAGATTTAAGACATAAGTCAACTTAATGAGATATAAAAAGTTTTTCTTTTTTATTCATATTAATAAATTTCAATAAGTCTTATCTACAGTATTTTAATACTTTTGTTATTCATTAATTAGTAAAGACTCATAAAAATAATTTAATCTTGTGGTTCTAATTCATTATCTTTATTTTTAGGAATATTTTATAAATTCATAAACTATTCATCTTGAATATGTAATTGTAAGGCATATTAATGAGAATTTTAATTTTCTTTTAATTGTTTATAATATATTTAATTAAAATAATTATAAAACATAAACTATTATTCAAAGTTCAATTATTTGTTGGTCTTTATAATTTTGTTCTTGTATGTTAATCTAAACCTTCATTCATCATTATAGGTTAGAATAATTAAAATTTTTGAGATAATCTATGTGTTTTAGTTAAAGAATCTAGTAGTAGAGCTTCAAACTTCCTAACTTCTGGTGAATTGATTTCACTCTCATTATTGAAAACTTAATTAGATTTGATTTAAGATTCAGAAACTGTAGGCAGCATAGAGGTTTGAATCTTGAGGTTAGGTTTTTTTTTAATGAGATTAATTTTGAGCTTATTTTCATTTATTTAAATCATTAAAACTAATTCTGATTTAGATTTGGAATTTATTCTTATTAATATATTATTATTCCATAAAATTTGAAGACGTATTTTAGCTCTAAATTATCAAAATAGTAATTATATTTAGAACCTTTTAATTTTATTATTGAATTTTATTAATTAATACAAAATACTATATTTATTTATATATTTATCATTTTTGTTAATTTTTGAAAAGTACTTCAAATAAGAACATTAATTAATCCTAATGAAATAAAACAATATTATTAACAAAAATAATACTATTTAATTTATCATAATAATCTAAATAAAATAAATATTATTAATTCAACAACAACAACATTTATAATTTGATATTTAATATTGTTTTATTATTGTTTTATAAAATCATATGAAAAGCGAATAAGCATTACACTTGTTTTGTTGTGACAAAAAATAATTCAATACTCAACAAACCTGTAATAACACTGCCAGAATTGGATCAAATAATAGAAGAACTTCAATAACATTAAAAGACTTGAGTAGTGGAAAAAAGGACTTAAAATTGCTAATAAAAAATTAAATGACAAACCAAAAAGGATTTATATAAAATTGTAAGAGTTCTAAGACTTTAATCAAATAAAAAAGTATATTCAATTCTTTATTTAGGTGATGAACATTTAAAAATAACACAACCAATAATTTAAAGAAAATCTGTCAAAGAAATAGATGGTTAATAAAATCTCAAAGAAGGTGATACTTATAAGTCCATATCACCTAAAGTTGTGATTAGTAATGATAAAATCAATGTTTATTTTGTAAAAGAGGTCAGTAAATACCACATAAATAATGAAAAAAAATAACGAAAAGAGGAAACAATAAGTACTGAAAATACTCTAATTCTATAAGAAATTTAATAGTAAAGAGTATATCTAAAAACATCTCAATAATAAACTACAACATAAGTAAATAAGTAAGTCTTCTCAAACATACCAAAAAGTATGTTAAGTAATCATAAAAGCTTTATAAATTAATCAACCAAAAAAATATAGGACATTAAAATTCACAAATGAATTGCTTAATAATTTTGACAAAATATTGAAATATAAGTATAATTTTATACAGTTATAAAAATTCATTTCAGTTTCTCTTAAAATTATTGAATTAAATTGGAAAATAGTTAATTAAATAGTTTATTTAATATCTCATAAAACAATAAAAGAGATGTGTGCAAATTGAGTTTATACTCATTTTGAAGGCATTGATATTGATCATTAAGTTTATTATTCTTTTTACTTTATATATTATAAACTTAAGTTTATTTTAAACATAACCCATTTCATTAATGTTTAGTCTAAGGAAAATCTCAATTTCATACTAGTAAAAGTTGTTAATAGATGAATTTGAGATTTTCATTTTACAATATCAAGCATTAGATATATTAGTAGTTGTAATTCTTAATTTATTTTTATTGAAAAAAAGCAAATTCAATAAAATTTTAATTAAGTCAACATCTCAAAGATATTTAATTAAAATGGCTCAAAGTCTATAATTGATTTATTATTCATAAGTATTTTAACTTGTATATTGTTTTTCCTAATTGCTTTTATATTAATTATTTCAAAGGAATTAAAAGAGTTTTTTCTAAAGTATAACGAAGGGTAAAGTAAAGTGAGATGCAAATATAATTTTAAAAGCTTATTAAATGTTATTTCTTTATAAAAATTTACGTTTCTTAGTCATTTAGGATTTTCCTATACGACTTAAACCTAAAACATTGAAATTTTTTTATATTTCAATAAAATAAAGAAGAACACATAAGACTAATCTTATTGTATTAATTTTGATTAGAATTCTTGGTATGTAATAAGAAAACTTTGAATAATAATTTTGGAATTTCTAAAAATCTGAGTTATACAAATTATCGAATGTATAACATATTCTATATCTATTTATAGAATAAGTGATTTAAGAACTCAGATAATTCTGAGTTTGATAATTAAATAAAACAAACTTAGATGGGTCATCTATCATCATTACTAAAAAAGAATTGGATTCTATGGAAGAGAAACTGTTTCTGTTCTACTTGCGAAATTATTTTACCACTATTGTTAATATTGGCATTGGCTGGAATTAGGTAAAACATTGTTATATTTTTTAGAGCTGTTGTAGAAAAGACTAATCTTGATGAAACAGCCTTTATATAACCAGAACTTGAATGGAGATCATCAGATCCCAATGTTCCAGTGATGTTACCTCCTTTGATTGATGAAAATGATATAGAAATGAAACTTAGATTTATGTAAAAATGGAATGATACATTAACATTGTTTGAAAACTTAAAGGTTTTAGATAGTAGAAGTAGATTATAACTGTTACCTAAAATGAAGTAAAGAAATTATACAATTTTAGAAATTGCATAGACAATTACAATTACTAATAAGAAAGATTTTGGCTTAATGGTCATGTAGCACTTGGACCTAATGAAAATAATGAGATAGTGAAGGAATTAAAATATATTTTTGAAAGTAAAAACTTTTTTGATTTGATTAGATTACTATAATTATGAAACTATGATATTCAATAGTAATGAAGATCTTAATGAATATACAGCTGATTAGAATTATGGAAGAGATGGAGTTCCTAGAATATGTTTTGGAGTGATGTTTAATGAAAATGCTGGAAATAATATTTATGATTATCAATTGCGATTTAATTCGAGCGGATTTAATAGTTATGAAATTCCTCCAACAAATTTAATAGAAGTGGATCCAATAAAATATTAAGATTATGAAAAAGCTAATGCATATTGGGAATCTGGTATGTTAACAGTATAAACATTTGTGGATAATATCATTTTGAGAATTGAAACAAATAATTAAGCTACTATAACTCCTAAGTTTTCTTATGGTATTTTATAATTAAATTCAATTAGTTCATTAATAGGAAGGAGTAAAGGATGAATTTGCAACATTTTTAAGAGGATAATTTGGTGTTTATTTGATATTACCTTTAATAATCATATATTTAAGAATGACTTATGCGATGATTTATGAAAAAGAAAAAAAATTAAGAGAAGGTATGAAGATGATGGGATTGAATAACACATCATTCTATCTATCATGGATTATCTAATATCTAATAATATATACAATTATTTCAATAATTGCTACAATATTATTATCTGCTATAGTATTTACACATACTGATGGATTTGTATTATTCTTAAATTATTGGCTATTTTGTATAGTATTGATATTTCAATCAATGTTCATTAGGTATAAATTAAATTTAATCATAGTGTATTTTTTACAAGAGCATTATTTGGATTAATTGTAGCCATAGTTTGGTATTTGTTGATGTACATGGTAATCAGTTTAGTAGGTAGTGGATCAGACATAGTTCCTGAATCATCCTATTGGGGAGCCTCAATATCTTCTCATGCTGCTATGTCTTTTGCATTTGATGTTATGGTATTATTTGAAGCTCAAAGCAAAGGTGTTTCAATGTCAACAATATCAACTAAAGTTGAAAACTATGCTGTAAATATAGCTTTGATAATGCATATCTTGAACATATTCTTTTACTTAATAATGTCAATATATTTAGATTTAGTATTTCCAAATGAATGGGGTAAGAAATTACATCCTTTATTTTGCATACCTTATTTTAATAGATCACACAATAATTAATAGTCAAAATTAATGAAAAAATCATCTTAAGTCCATCCAGAAAGATATGAAGAAGTAGAATAAGCTTTAAAAGATTAAGAAAATAGAAAAGAAGTACTTTAAATCTCTAATCTTACTAAAATATATCCAAGTGGCAAATAAGCAGTCAGTAATGTAAGTTTGACTATGTATGTTGGTTAAATTTATGCTTTATTGGGACATAATGGAGCAGGTAAGACTACTACAATTTCAATGTTGACAGGTCTCTTAGATATTACTGAAGGAGAAGCAACAGTATTTGGATATGATGTTGAAACTTAAATTGAAGAAATTAGATAATTTATGGGAGTATGTCCATAACATGATATTTTATTTGATAATATGACAGTCAAAGAACATTTGGAAATGTTTGCAACTTTTAAAGGAATGAAACCAGAAGATATTCCTGCTGCTGTTAGAAGAATGATTGAAGATGTTGATTTATTAGAAAAGACTGATTATTTAAGTAAGAATCTATCTGGAGGATAAAGGAGAAGATTATCTGTTGCTATTGCCTTTATTGGTAATTCTAAATTAATATATTTGGATGAACCTACTTCAGGAATGGATACAAGTGCAAGAAGATATATTTGGGAAATGCTTAAAAATTATAAAGAAGATAGAATCATAGTCTTAACAACACATTTTATGGATGAGGCTGACTTTCTAGGTGATAGAATAGGTATAATGGGAGAAGGTAAATTATAGTGTTCAGGAAGTAGTGTATTTTTAAAGAATCAATTTGGTAATGGTTATAATCTAACAATTGTAAAAGAAAGTACTTTAACTGAATCAGATCCAATCATTGAAATTATCATGAAAACATGTCCAGAAGCTATTTTGATTTCTAAAGTTTCAGCTGAAATTCTTATGCAATTACCTTTAAATGCAGTTGATAAATTTCCAAAATTATTTGCAGAATTAGATACTAATTTAAAAGCTTTACATATGTAAAGTTATGGTATTAGTATTACAACTCTTGAAGAAGTATTTTTAAAGGTTGCTTAAATAGGAGCTGGACATCATTAAGTAAATGATTATATTGAGATGGAGGATAAGAATAAATAAGCAGTTTAAATTGATGATTTCGATATTAATTAAATAAGAGTTACAAATCCTACTCAATTATTTTTCAATCATACTTTAGCTTTACTTATGAAAAGAGCAAGATTTTTCAAAAGAGATGTAAAGAGTTTATGTTGTGAAATCTTATTACCTTGTTTGGTTGTACTTCTTGGATTGATCTTAATGACAATTGAATTTATAACTGAACCAAATATTATTGTTTTAACACCTCCATCTGAATGTTATGGTAATGGAATTTAATATTTATGGGGAGGATTAAATGACTAATCTCTATTTTCATAAATAGATTTTGAAATGTACAATTCTACTATTCAAGTTTTTGGAGATGATAGTCTAGATAATCTCAAAAAAATTGATTAAAATTACTATGATACTTTTGATTAGAGATCAAATATTGGATGGTATTATTTGACTAGCAATTCTAATGATTAATTTGAATATTACATGTTTGTCAATACAATCTTTAGAGAAGCTCCACTTGTTTTATAAAATTAAATGAATTAAGCTATTTTAAGAAAAGTTACCAATAACAATAATTATTAAATTAAAGTTACTAATTCACCTTTTAGAAAAACATATGAAGAATTGAATGGATCAAAAACAATAGCTGGATTTTTATCTGCTTTAGTATTTTCTATGGGTATGGCATTCATTCCTGCATCTTTAATATCATATATTGTTAAGGAAAGAGAGATTAATATAAAACATTAATAATTAGTATCTGGTGTTTCAGTAAAAGCATATTGGTTTAGTAATTGGTTGATGGATTTAGGAAAGCATGTAATTCCAGCAGTTGTATGTTGTCTTCTAATTCTAGCATTTGATATATAGGCATTAATAGAAGGAGAAAATTATGGATTTTCATGGTTAATCTTCTTTTTATATGGTTGGGCAATAATCCCTTTTTGTTATTTCTTTAGTTTTGCCTTCAGATAACAAGGAAATGCAATGTTATTAAGCTTTTTCATACATTTATTGGTTGGATCAATTATAAGTTTGATAGTTTATATTTTGAGATTGATATCATCTACAAGAGATGCAGCCACTGTTTTGTAATGGATTTTCAGATTGATTCCATCATTTTCATTTGCATATGGTATATTAAATGCATGTTCAAAAGACACATATATGGTAATGGAAGGATGGACAGAAATGAAAAGTACTTATGATATGGCAGTAAGTGGAGGAGATGTACTGATGCTTGCAATAATGGGAGCATTTTATTTAATTTGTGTATTCATTGTTGAATACTTTGAAGATAATGGATAATTATAGAAACTAGGATCAAGTGAATCTAGTATCCCTTACATTCCAAAACCTATTGATGATGATGTAGCTAAAGAAAAATAATTATGTGAAACCTATAAACCAGAAGAGAAGGCCATTCTTGTAAAAGATATGAGAAAAGTGTTTATGTTGGGTGAAGGAAAACATAAAGTAGCAGTTGATTAAGTCAGTTTTGCTATTGATTAAGGAGAGGTCTTTGGTTTATTAGGAGTTAATGGAGCTGGTAAAACTACTACCTTTAAGATTTTATCAGGAGAGTTAAAGCCCACTAGTGGAGAAGCATTTATTGCAGGCAAAAGTGTTATTAATGAATTAGAAGCTGCTAGAGTCAATATTGGATATTGTCCTTAATTTGATGGACTTTTAGATAATCTTACTGTTAGAGAACATATAGAACTATTTTCAGATATTAAAGGAATACCATATTATAAGAAAGAGGAATTAGTTGAAAAGAAATTAAATGAGATGGATTTAAAGAGATTTGAAAATATTCAATCAGGTTAACTTTCAGGAGGAAATAAAAGAAAATTATCTGTTGCTATTGCTATGATTGGAAATCCTCCAATTGTTTTTTTAGATGAACCTTCTACTGGTATGGATCCAGAAGCAAGAAGATTCATGTGGAATGTTATTTCAAGAATTGCTACTCAAAGAAAATAAAGTACTATTATTTTGACTACTCATTCTATGGAAGAAGCAGAAGCATTATCAACTAAAATTGCTATTTAAGTTAGTGGTAATCTCAGATGTCTTGGATCTGTCTAACATATCAAAAATAAATTTGGTAAGGGATATGAAATAGAAGTCAAATTGGAAAAACCATAAAAACATGAGATTTAAGAACTAATACAATAAATGGGATTGTAAAACAATATTAGATTGGATCAAAATACTACAGTTGAAACATTGAAAAAAATCAATTCAACTCATTTAGAATAAGAAATAACAATGAAAGGTTCTGGATCACATATTTATAATGATATTAGAAAACCTAATGGATTAGCTATTGAAACTCTTGCAGAATATGTTATTGTTGAGAAAATGGGAGATCTTATGAAGAAATTCATAGAGTAGAATTTAGGATAATTTGAAGTTATTGAACATTTCCAAACATTTTATAGATTTAGACTCCTTGGATAGATTACTGTGAGCAAACTCTTTGAAGGATTTGAACAAAATGTAAATTATTTAATTAATAAATTTAGAAAAAACAATATAGAATTTCCCAATACTCCATCAAATAAGCATCAATAGAATAAATTTTCAATAATTTTGCAATTTAGGATTCTCAATAACAACAATAACAAGAGAATGTTCAAGGGACTCAAATTGCAGTGTAAATCTAATAAAATTCTTGATTTTTTAATTTATATTGCTCTTTATTATAGAAAATAACTTAATCATTTGATATTTAATTCACTAATCTTTTTTTCCTCTTAAACTTTTTCTTTTAATACTACTTAATCCCCTTTAAGTACAATCCAATCATAGTTTTTATAATAATAATGATATGGAGAACCTGGAGGATGTAAGACGTAACTAGCCTACATATAAGATAGTAATGTTTCACCCCCTTTTATTAATATAATTAATACTGGTTCCATATATTAATGTATAGGTTGAAGAATACGATATCATAGGCTCACAAGTTACTCTAAGATAAGCTGAACCAATTTAAGTATTAACATCAAAACCGCTAATTCCTTAAGCTAAAATATTGTTTCCTGGTTCCAAAGTATATATTGATGGTACTATTCTTGTGAATTTTTATGCTCTGATAGCTAATTTATTTGAATTATCAAGATATTGATTAAAATAATTATGATAAGCTCCAACAGATCCAGCTAGAGTTAAATAATTATTTGAGATAAAATATGCGACTGTCAAAGATCTCACATGACAGAAGTCTCTTGTAGAAAACCTTACATCCATACTTGATGATGTTGGTATTCCCATTACAATCTATATACTTGTGTACAATGAATCAATAATTTCAAAGTCTGCACCTACAATAAATGCTGTTACTTTTGGGGCTGGATACTTTGGATAATATGAAATCAGAAAGTCTTAAGATCTTTAACCAAAACCCTATCTTAGTTAATACAAATCTTCTTAAGAATATTGCACATATTAAATTTCAGCCTCGTCATCAACAATTGCAATCCATCTTACAGTCATTATTGGTATTATTGCAGGTCCCCAAATTACATAGTTTATGTAAAAACCATTTATTGTTATGTCTGATACATATGTTTAGTAATTAATATTTTTTCCTTTACTCCATTGAATTTCCTCATGCATTAATAATACTTATGGGCGACTACTATGATTTTATCATATACGCACTAAATCTTCGTGGAAATACTATTTAGGTGTATTACCTAATTGGAAATGAAGGATTTGTAAACTCTGATTATTTATTTATTGTTCGATCTATCCCTGATTACCATTCTGAATAGTATTCAGATCCAAATTATGCTGAAGAATTAACAATGCACAATATTACTATTAAATATAACATATTAAATATTAAAAATTAAGAAAAACGTAATTTATATATATTATATTTATTTAATCTTAATGATATTATGCAAAATTAAATAAATCACTTTAATTTTATTAATGATTCTAAAGTTTAATATTTTATGATATCTTCTGCTCGTTTAGAACTCTTACTTCTTTATTATAATTCTAATGGTTCTATTTATTTAGATTCTTTTAATTATAAAAGAATATTATACCTCTATTCTTTTAAATCATACTATTATTTTATGAACTATTTTTTGATATTGATTAAAATTAATCCAATCTTTTTTTATCCTATTATGATGCATTCTGAATCAGATCATTAATAGATGATAATGAATTATGTTTAGTTCTCATTATTTAACTGTAAATATTATTAAAATCTTTTTGTTGCATTGATTTAATCACTTCAGATTTCTATTTATTATTTGCATTAGTGATAATACTATAATAATTTAATTTTTGGGATGATTATGTAGGTAAAATAAGTTCTTATTATTCTTTTAAAAATTATTTTGGATTTGATTTATGTTCAGAATGAGAATTTAATTACCTTTAATCTAAATTAAACTTTTAATTAGGTCCATTTTTTTATTAATTTGATGATTAATTAGATTGTTTATTAATTAAAGCTTATAAATAGTCTCGTTAATTAGAGTCTATTGATTTTCTTTTGTTTTCTTTTTCTAAATTGGATATTGTTTACTTTAAATTATTTACTTCCTATTATAATTATTACTCTTTTTCATTCAATTCTTAATTTTCTCTTTTCAATTTCTATCATAATCAGATAAAATGCATTTACACTTATATTATTTTTAGTTGTTTCCAATAATTCTTATCTAATTTGTTCACTCTCATCCAATTTGCTTTATATAGATTCTGCATATAATTTTAATTGTTACTCAACCTAAACTATTTTTTAAAATCATTACGCTAATGTGGTTGCGAATTTCTTACTCATATTTTATAAGAGTTTATTCTAACTTGTCATATTCTTCATCATCTTTAAACATATATGACTTATTCAAATCGTTGCATTTATCCAATTTCCTTTGGATTTTGAATAATAATTTTTTACTTACAACAGTTTCTTTTCTATTTTCAGCATTAGTTTTGTAAATATTACTTTTATAATACCAACCAAGTATGACAAACTTTCGTAGTCTTTCAATTCATTTTCAATTTAATTTAACTCTTCCTTTGTTTCAATGTATTTCTCTACATAGACTAGAATTCTTTCCAATAAATCCTTTAAGTTATTTTCTAATTCCTTGTCCGTTGTTGTAAATGTATTTATACTTGTTGGAGTTTAGTCCATTTATTAATAAATTATATTTTATTTTCTTATAAACTCTAAATAAATAGAACTTTTTTCCATTCTAAATTAATTAATCATTTTCAAATAAAATAATTTGATTGCAAAAATAATAAGAAATATCATTAAGTTACTTTGAAAATAATTTATTGGTTAATTATAAATTAATAAAACCATATTAATTTTATATAAATAATTTAAAAAAGTAAAGATACACAAGGTTAAGATTAAAAATTACATCCATCCCTTATTTTAATTCATATATATATAATCAATACTAAAAAAAGTAATCATTTATTAGTTGACACTTAATAATTATCTTAAGATATTGGATTTTTAGTATTCTATTTCTGGATTGAAGGAGTTTTGAAATTTTAAAAATTTTGTATTTCCTTAATTATCTATGTAGCTAAATCAACAAATGAAACAATCAACATTGGAAAAGCTTCCTAAAAATTTGAATCTGATTAAAGTTCAGTCAATATTATATTTGATATTTTTTACATTAATTATACAAAGGTAATAGCAAATTTCTCATCATTATGAATTAAATAATAATCACTTTCTTCTACTCTCTTTATTATTTTTTACTCTTTCATTATTCTTTTAATACTATTCTATATAAGTATATTTATATTTGATCTCTAGATAATGCAATTATTCAATTATTCTCTAGTATGAGTTGTTAAATAATCTAAATTACCCACTAATCCTAAAAAATCTGTGAATTTTTTATAATAATAAAGTAATTCCTTAACAGATTAACCAGTTTCACTTCTTTATTCTTGTGGTCTTGATTATGGTTAACTTATTGATTACACTTGCAAATAAGGTTATTCAAATATATTTAATTCTTATTATTGTTATTTCTATTTTGATTATGGTTTTGTTCCAGAACATGCCCCTCCCATATTCGAAGACAAAGATAATAACTTAATTTAATTACGTAAAATTTATAAAACTTAATCAATCATATTCCTTCAGCTGTGAATTTTATTAAATATATATAGATTTATTATTGAGTCATAATTATTTGTATTATATATTCAATATTAATTCATCTAATTTTATATAAAAGACCTAAAATAAATAATTTTAATGATTAGTAATTCTATATAAAGTTAACAAATTTTTAAACATAATTAAACCATAAATGCTAGAAATTGCCATTATGAATTATAAATTAGTTATTATTGGTATTAATTTAATAATTTGAATAAAAACAGTTAATCTATCTTATAACTTAAAATTTGAATCACCTATCAAATATATTAAACTAATTACTTCAATTTCTTAAGAAATATTAATGATTGATATTTTAATAAATTTAATGATGTTATTTACTAACCTGTCATTCCATTAAAATGTTATCATTTATAGATTTTTCTATTCAATCAAATGCAATTTAAAGATAAGCATATCCTAATTATTTTTTTGATTTTAATATTTTCATTTAATGTTGATTTTTTGTTTTTTAAATTATGTACTATTCTAATGAATAAATTTAATCATTAAATTTAGATTATTTTATTAATATGATAAAATATAAATTATGATATAAATTTATTTGTCAAATTATGCATCTTGAATTTTAATCTTAAAAACATTGGATTTAGACATAGGAGGGTTTTTGTAATGAAATAAAAAAAATAAGATTATTATATAGAATATTTGTGGAAAATAATAATTCTTTAACAACTAATGTTTATTAATTATCTATTTAAATATTTTATTTTACAACTAAAAAAAGATTGTTATATATTTAATGTTTTCCAATATTTTAGATAATTAGGAGTAAAATAACAACTAAAAGAATCTACCAATTTTATCGTTTCTAAATAATTAAAGGAAGAGATCAATTCAATATGTTAGATTTAAGATGCAAACAGTAAAAATTTATAAAACCTTTGCTTAATATCATGTATTATTTAATTTTATCATTTTTCTAGGTGGAAGTAAATGAGTATGGAAAAATATGGATTATGGAAATACGCTATAGTACCCTGTGGTAATTCTATCAAAAACTTAAGAAATATTACAGTATCAAACTAACATTTCCTTCTAAACTGTTATTTGGAAACTTATGTCCAGATAATTTGAAAAAAAGAGCCATCAGAATTTAATAGTTTCTATAAGAATTAGGCAGGTAAATAGATATTTCATTTTATGTAGTAATTATAAACTAATTAATTCTGATGAGTGTTCTGAATTTCTAACAAAGCAACAACATTATGGAACTAACATAATCGATCTTACTGAAGTAGAAGAATTTTTATTAGATGATTGACTAATTTTTATTTATAATTAATTTTCTTACTTTTAACAATTATAATACTTATCAATGCTTTTGAATTAATATAGCAATTAATATAGCAATTAATATTATAATGGAATCAACTCATATAATATTAAATTTTAAAAATACTTTTGCTTAGTAAACTTCTTTATTTTTTAAATCAATATATAAGATTGATATATTAAAGCTTGATTATGGAAATAATATTTTAATATAATTAATAAATTGATTGGAATTGGATAATTTTTAGATATTAATTAAATCTATTAACAATTTCGAATATGTTTTAAAGCAAGTTTCACTCGAAAATATAAGACTATTAAAATATACTCGATATAAAAAAGTTACTTAAACAAACTAAACAAACTTACTTAACAACGAAGTGTTCTTAAATTTTTCCTTGATAAAGAACAATTATGAAATGATATTTTTCATTTGATTGAGAGTTTAATTAAATAAATTTAGATTAAAAAAGTGACTTATTATCCAAATTAATCTTATAGATTAAAGAGAAATAAATTGTAAGTCATTTTTCTATTTCAAAAGTGAAAATTTATTTAAATATAGAGCCAAAGATCAATGAAATTATATTATATAAGTAATAACCAATTTTATTTTAATTAATGGTTTTTTAAGATCATAATAAAAATTAGAATCATATTGATAAAAATCTTATGTAATACAGCAATATTTATGTATTTTAAGTATTATCATGATGCACAACAAATCAAACCAAGCATTATAGAAAAATAAAATTATTATCAAATCAAATTTATGATTAATGTAATTTATTTATATCAATATTGAAAGTTTAAAAAAATTCTAATTGAAAAAGTGGTCTAAAGATTAAAAAGAAAAGTATACATCAAGATTAATATTTAAATAAATCATTCTTTCAAAATAAAGAAATAATAGAAATTATTATATAGTTTGTAATATTAAATAAATAAATATGTTTCTTATCAAATTTAAAAAAATTAAAAGTAAAAACCTTGAATTACATTCTGTCTTATTGAAAATAGTTTCTTAAAGGAAGAGTGTTATTTTAAGGGTAAAATTTAAATTATACTATTGAAATTAGAATAATATTTCAAGGATCTTTCAATTTAAATAAACACCTAACAAAGTTATTATTGTTGACAATATGTCTGAAAACTTTAATTGTAACTAAAGAAGGAATTGATAATTAAAGCAGATTTTTAAATATAGATGATAGAAAATCGAAAAATCTTAAGTATTACTTAAAGGTGTGGGTATTTGAGTATGAGATATAGAAATTGAAATAAAATTAGAGTTGCTTTGAATTAAGTAAAAGATCAAATGATAGATAATAAGAAATTAGAAATCCATATCAATGTCCTTTATTAAATTTTACAATAATCAATTTTTTAATGGATATTAGTTTATTTTTATTTTTATGTTTCCCTTTAATATTTGTTAAATTTTGTGATAAGATCTCAAATTTCATTATTCGAAAAAGATAGAATATTTATTTTTATACTTATTTGAAGAAATGAGTTTATTATTTAGAATTACATACAATTAAAATTGGATTTAGTTTCTAAAAAGTTTGAAGTTAGTGAGTGAATGAGTATATATTCTTTTAATTTTGAAATGTAAATTATTACAGAGTAGAGTATATTCTAAAATAAAATATAATTTATATGAATCAATTTGAATCCACTGAGGCAAGAATTTTATACCTTATCTATACTCTCTATTAGAACAATATGATCTCTATAGATTAGAAGGGCATACTAAAAGGTACTAATAGTGTAATCCTTAAAGATTATTTAATCACTAAAGAAAATGGCAGATTTATGAATGCGATAACTTCATTTGAGAAATCCAAAGATATTGATTAATTGTCTCAATTCCTGATTTAATTTGTTGACAGTAAGTTAAATAGTTAATCTTAGTGGAGAACTCATTATCAGACTATGTTTCAGTGGATTCTTTTAAAACAATAAAGTCCTCGAAACCATGTGAGTTATTAAAGGAAACTACTTAGAGTTCGAACACAAATTCTAATCAATATATACTAATTTCGCCTGTCTTAATTCAGAAAAAGAATAGAGACACATAATTTATCTCTAGGAAAGATAGAAAATACTTAACTTAAATATAATGATTTATTTTATTAATGGAATAATTATTGCCAATACTTATTCAAGAATATAATGTCTTGAAGCAATATGCTAAAGAGTTATACAAACAAACATCAATGCATGAATACACAAAATCTTTTGATATTTTTGATACTGCTATATTGGTGTCAATTATAAGTGTATTAGGACTATGGGCATTAAGGAATCTTCGATTTCCAAACAAAGATTACAATTAAAGTAAGAATAAATCTCATTTATAGGTTATTTTGAATACTTTAAAGCTTAAATATTTATATTCCTAGTAAACTATTGTCCAGGAGTCAACTCATATATTGAATAATAGAAAGCTATTGCTTTGCAATCTTTCAGCAGTTCAATGGAAAAGATGACATCCAAGAAAACTTTAAAGATTCCTGAAAATGGAATTGATTCTGATACTATGATGGATAAAATGAATGAATGGATAGAAAGAGATAGTAAACATAATGGTAGTGGTAAAGTTTCTGGGTCATTGTATGTAATGCCAGATAAATAATTTATAAAAAATGCACAAGATTTTTGTAAGCATTTCATATATTCAAATCCTATGCATGCTGATCTTTGGCCAGCAACCAGATAGATGGAAGCAGAGGTTATTAGAATGACTGGAGATCTATTTGGATAAGAAAAAGAAGGCATAGGTATAGTCACAACTGGAGGAACAGAGTCAATCATTTTAGCCATGTTAGCCTACAGAAATTGGGGAGAATCCTAAAAAGGAATAAATAAGCCAAATATGTAAAGATTTAATATATTGTAGAGTCATACCTGAAACAGCACATTCAGCTTTTTATAGAGCAGGCGAATATTTTAAAATATAAGTGAGAGTTGCTAAAATAGATTAATCATCTTTTTAAGTAGATATTAATGATCTTAGAGCAAAAATTGACTCAAATACAGTTTGCATTGTAGGATCTTTCCCAAATTTTGGATATGGAACCTCTGATCCAATTGAACAATTAGCATCAATTGCCAAAAAAAAGAAAATCGGATTGCATGTAGATGCATGTTTAGGAGGATTCACTGCTGTCTTTGCAAAAGATCATGGTGTCGATCTAGGTAAATTTGATTTCACTTTGGATGGAGTAACATCTATCTCATGTGATTAACATAAACATGGTTTAGCACCTAAAGGAGTTTCTACTGTTTTGTTTAAAACTAAGTAATTACGTGAGCATGCTTTCTTTTCGTTAGCAACTTGGTCTGGAGGAGCCTATGCTGTTCCAAGTATGTAAGGGTCTAAATGCGGAGCGAATGTAGCTGGTGCATGGTTCACTTTGTAATCTATTGGTAAGAAAAAGTATATTGATTACAGTAAGAAAATTATGGATGCCACCTAATCTTTGGTAAAATCATTATCAGAAATACCAGAAATTAAGGTTTTTGGAAATCCTTAAATCAATTGTGTTGCTTTTATGAGTAAAGAAACTTGGCTTAATGTTTATGCTATTCATGAAATCTTAACTCACCAAGGTTGGACAATTAGTAGTGTACAAAAGCCAGCAGGTGTTCATATTAGTTTAACCTTATAAAACATTGGTAATCTTAAATAATATGTGCATGATATAAAGGCTGCAATTGAAAAAGTAATCAAATTCTTAACATCTAGATTAAAGCCAATCCAAAAGAGTATAAAAAAGGTGGAGAAATGGGAACTGTATATGGTACAACCTAAAGAATTCCTGATTCTAAATTAGCAAACTAAGCTATAAAAGTTTATTTGGATTCATTATTAAAGATATGAGATAACATTAATTTGTTTTAATAGTACAAAATTGGTTGAATTTAGATATTAGTTCTTTTCTAGAAGTTCTTCTTTTTCAGATAAATTCTTAATTTAATTGAATGAAGGAATTAGATTATATATTAATTAAAAGATTCTTAACTTTTTGAATATCTTTATTTTTTATATAATTTCAATTATATAAACTTAGTTTATTCAATAATAATTTTTTTGTTTCTTGTTCTCTCTCCAACTAAATACGTATTTCATTTAATTGTTTTCCTGCTTCTCTTCTTTAAGTTTCTAAATCTTATTAGTATTTTTGTATTTTTTATTCAAAAGCTTTTTTCATGGTTTCAAATTCTAATTTTAGGGCTGCTTCATAAGAATTTGAAAATTATTCATCAGTTGTGTATCGCTTTTAAAATTACTGATAGATTTCATCCTAACTTAATATATTCAACTACTTTAACTTTATTTAACCTATCTATGGTTTCTTTCCATTACTAAACTTCCCTTTATAAACTTTCAATTATTGTTTATTTTTCCATCAATTAATTTCTTAATTTGATTAGATCCTATATTGTAAAAATAAGATTACATTTTCTAAAGTTTTATATCTTTCATTATACTCTTATTAAGCTTTATCCAAAATCTTTTGATAGAAAGTATGATCTTTAGCATTACTATTTGATTATTATTGTGTATTAGATTAAGTTTGAATTTAAGTTGATTATTATTATTATTATTATTATTATTATTATTATTATTATTATTATTATTATTATTATTATTTAAGTTTGTCTTCATATTAAGATTTTATATTTAATTATTCTTATTAATTTTATGATACTAACTCAGATATTTATTTTTCATAATGATTTTTTAATTATATTAATTATTTCTAAAATTATTCAATCTAAGATTATAATATCTCTAATTCTTTTTCATGTTTCAAATTTAAAGTTTCATATTGTTTCTGCAATTTAATTTCATATTCATTTCTAATTTAATCAATTTGTTCTTATGAATTTTCATTTTTATTATTATTATTATTATTACTATTATTAATATTTCCCTTCATGCTTACTTACAATTGTAATTATAATTATTTTATTGTTTTATTTAATTCACTTATTTAATCATCTTTTTGTTTATTTTATTTGAGAAGCATCTAATTATTGTTATTATCATTTCCTAACTTTTATGGTTAATTCTTATCTTATTTAACTTAATATAATTCAGTCATGCGATTTAAATTAGCAATTGAAATTGGAAATTTCAAAACAGATATTTATTGTAAATTTTCCTAATAATTAGGACATAATGAACTAAATATTTCATCAAATTTGATCAAATGTATTACCTCATATTCTGTAATTTTCATAATCATACTATCCATGATAGATATGAATTTATAGAGTTTAACAACAGCTTCCCTTAAATATTATCAAAATCAATACTCTAAAGTTCTAACATCTAATATTGTGAGGAGTTATGATATCTCAATATTATTTAACTTTTCAAGTGCTAATTTAGATTAAGAATTTTAAGCAACCCATTTTTTCACTTATTGTAATCTATATTCTTGTCTTGGGTCATTATTACGAATCTAAAATTGAATTGTTTATTAATACGCGTCCATCAATATCTAATTTATTGATTTCTTCTTGTATTTAAAGAATTTCTGCTTTCATAGTTGTAATAAATGTATTTTCATCCTAATAAAGATTTAAACTTAACAAATTAAAGGGATTGGTGGCTAATGGATCTTAAAATTAGGGAAATCTATAAAGTTTTGTATTTTCAAATTACATTTCTCCTGTTTTTAGTTTTTAGTCTCTGCTGCCAGGTCTTTATGAGGCCAATTTGATTTTTCTATTGAATCCAGCACTACTCCCCATAATGCTACTACTATTTTCTAATTGTTGTGATTATTTGAAAGTTGGGTTCATTAATTAAAATATTATTTCAATCTTATAATAATTTTTACAATAATAACAGCTAATATTTAACATATGATCAAATGTTAAGAATTGATAATAAAATGAAATTGATTTCTTTAAAGAATTTGTAAAAAAAACTATGGTTTAATTTTATAGATGTATAAGTTTATCAAAATCACTCATCTTTTTTTCTATGTTAACTATGCTATATTTTGATTCAAATATCTTTTAGGAGAAATGAGAAGAAGTGATGATTAGCATGTATTAATGGAATCTTATTGCATATTGAGTAGTAATCTACCTAGCATCAAAATAATTAATAATCCCAACATTCCCACACTCAAAATGAATATCATTAGTGTTTATTTATAAATTGTTAATGCTTAATCAAACTCTTAATGTGCAATTTCAACTAATTTTTCATATGCTAAAATTAAGATTTCACTTCCATAATCAATATATATGATATGATCAGTATTGGAAAAAAAGTCTTATACTTATTTTAGAGTATTGTTTTTATTATTTTCATAGAAAAATTGTGGTTATGATTCAATTAACTTATCAATTTAAGTAATTAAATACTTCATACCATGTTAGTAATATTAGAAAATACTAGGATTTAGTTTAAATGACGAAGTTTCATTACAAACAATCCCAACTTAATCTAAACATATGTTATTCTCATTTATTTATTGTAAGTTTTATTTTAATTATTCATCACTCACAATTGAAGCAAAATTATTATTGAATTCTATGTATTAATCTTACTGATCACTCTTTAATGATAGTGAATAATTATTGAATTCCTCTTAACTCATTAGATTTATAAATCGTTATTGATCATATGTATTATAGCATACTAAATCAATATTGTGGATAATGTTGATAAATGAAGATTGGATTAATTTAAAGTTGAATAGAAAATTTGCATTTGCAAATAATTATTAAGACAGTATAAAAATAACAAAGAAGATAATTAGAAAATAAGCAAGTATAACTATTAATCCCATCATCAATATAATGATATACTTAAACTAATTTATGTGTTATTTTTTCAACTTCTCTAATAATTTATACTTATTTTTTTTATTACTAGTATTAAGTAAGAGATTTTAACTCTAATCAGTCAATTGTTAAGTTTAAAATTATATGTTATCAATACTATTTTCAAACATTCTTGTTTCTTATACAAAATCTATTAACATCCATTCATATAATGATTTTTTAAATATAGATAAGATATTCTCATATGTCTCAATTTCATCTTGTACTTCATATATTTACAATTTGATTACTATTTTATATAATCTTCTATGATCATTCTTTAATTTTGATATCAAGGGAACTTACAAAAACTATAATAACATAACCAAAAAGAATATAATTAACATATAAATTGTTAATAAGGATTAAAGTTGTTCTTCATTTTATACTTTTTCATCATAACAATTATCATATGCTAATTTTGGTAATTATCCTATTTCTTTTAGATTAGCAATAGAAATTAGGGTGACTTATGAATTATTAAAAGTATTATTTTTGATTTTATAAAATTAAGCCAAACTCATCTAAATAGTCTCTTATAAAGTAGGATTTACAATCATTTAGTATTCGATATTATAAAACTAATTCACACTAAAATTTATTTAATTAATATCAGTTAATTATTCACTTTATAAATTAATTAAATTTTAGAGATTAGAATCAATTTAAATAGAATAGAATTCTTTCAAATTATTATCAATACTAAATTTATTAGATAATTCTAAACGGTAAAGTCCATGTGTAATTTATGAATAGCTTTATTGAGTGAATAACATCAATTCAATTAAATCAAAACATTCATTAAAGTTATATTATTGTTAAACTGCTATAGTTAATAGAATGATATATCCTATTATCAAAAAGAGCACAAAATATAGAAGATATTTTTAGATTTTAAAGGAGGTAGGATTTTTAAAGATTTCCATTTTCGAATGTATTGACTTATAATTTAGATCAAATATTTTAAGATTTTCAGAATATTTGACCTAATGTTCTTCTTAAATTAATTATTATGAAGCTCGACTATCTATAGCTAATTTAGAATCAGTTTCATTAAAAAAATCTTGTTATCTTTTCTTTTCTAAATATTTATTCATAGTTTTTAATGCTAAATTTCTTTCTGGGAATTTCAATTTTAATGATCCTTTCACTAATGAATCCTATGTATTTAAGCTCTATTTCTTTTGGTGTTCGTTATCATCACTTCTATTATAAACTAATTGTGTATTATTATTAAATTGAAATTAATTGGAAACTTAATTGGGAGATTGAAAATATAAATCTTCATAATAATGAGATGGATGAGTGGGAAACATATAATTAACTACCTCTCCATCATGATCACTTATTTATTCACTAATATTGCTTTGAAAACTATTAGAATCTTCAGTTTATATTTATTGTTCAATCAAAAGTCTTTTGGATTGAAAATTTAAACAAGCTTATTTAATAGTTTCTCTAACTTATCTTTTATAACCCATAGTAGTTAATAATTAAGATTCATTTACAACTAATTCAATTACAAAAAATTATTATTTTTGTCCAATATCATTCTTTTTATATCTATATTCTTCATAATTAACAGAATAAAATACAGGAACAGGATTGAAATTTTAGAGTGTAATTTTTTCAATATATTTTGTGTATTTATCATAATAGATTTTTTCAGCTTTTGTTTTAAGTTATTCACTATCTTCTTCACTTTATAAAGAAACTTATGATTGTGAAGAAGGTTTCATGGAAGACTTTTACATTTCTGATTATCTAGTAGTTCCAAATTACAAGGCTTAATGACTTTTTAAATGTTAATCAAAGTAGAAGCTACATAATTTTTCATTGTAAATAGTTACACTTTATTGAGCACTAAAACTTTCACTTTCTTAATATTCATTTTGCATTCCTTTATATTAACTTCCAGAAGAGAAATTGTTAGATTGAACACGAACATCATCCATTATTTTTTATAACACTTTTTCATACTAAGAAACAAATAAATTAATATCTTCTGGAATAAATATATATGTTTCTTTATTGCTTACTATACTATTACTAGTTTCTAGATCTACTAAATTTGGATATCTATTCTTAGGTGGAGTTTCTCCATCCATTAAATATTCAATTCCAGTTGATTCTATCTCTCTAGAAACAAATGGTAATAACATCCATATTAAAACTTTTTAATAAAATTCATCTATTTTTAACAATTAATTTGACCATTATTATTAATAAACATCAAAACTTTCACTTTCTAATGAAGAATTTTCTGATTTACTTTTTTCATGACTATTATGTTTAAATGATTCAACCTTTTATGTACTTTTAGTTCTTTATAATCTATCAATCATTTAATATAATCCTTAAGTTATTCCCAATATAGTCCCATTCACATCAAATAAAATATGTTAAGTACCTTTAAATGCTACATCCTTTATTTTTTTTGGCTCTTTTCCTGGTATGAATTTTGGTTATTCTTCTTCTAAAGATTTCAAACAACCAATCATAGTGAAATCATCAGTCAAATTTTAACTAAAATTATGAGCCAAATAAACTTAACATCTAATCAAAGTTTTATCATATATCTTTGCAAATGTTTAAAAATACTTACCTATTCTAGCTGTTCCTCCTCTTCTTATATAATTTTACATAATTTCATCATGAACAGGTTCTAACCAAGTAGGCATCAAAGTATTAATATTTCCCTTTGTAAAATCTAAGAAAGCTTCTAATGGATTATCAAAATGATGAAATCCAAAAAATTTAGGAATCAAAGGTGAAATGACTTCATTTAATACTTTTCCAATGTTTGGACCTTATGCTATACAAACTTTAACAGAAATAGCTTCTCCTTTAAAAAAATTAATATTTGTTATCTCAAAAGAATTCATGCTCTTCTCTAATTATAATATTTCTCTTCTTTCTATAAATAAATAATACTATATATAAAATACCTCTTTCTAATTCAAAATATTTTCTAACATTGTTAAATAATAGTAAATCAATTAAAGCACTATATTTAAGGAATTGTACATTAAATGTACGACCATGTGTATAAAATATTGGTTTATATACTTTGATTTGATTTAAAATTTAGATTTTTAAAAGTTATAATTTTTTAACTTCCATTTCAATTTCAGAAAAATTTGAAAATTTACCAGCTAAATATTACTTCCAAAATTAAATCTTAAATTAAGTTAATTACATTAATAATGGTAATAAATTCTATTTAATTTATTCCATTTAATATAATGTTTATACAATACTTCTTTCACTTTTACTAACTTATAATTTTACATTTGATACTCTTGTATCTTTATTAATATTATAATCTTCATCCTTTTACATTTAAGCTTATAATATAAATTATAATAATAATGAAATTTAAATGAAATAAAAAGAATAATCTCTTTTCTTTTAAAATAATATCTTCAATTCCTAATAACTTTTAGGTGCATTATTTCTATATTTATTTATGAATGTAAGAAATTTAAGACTGTAAATTTCTAAATTTTTTTAATCATTTCTATGTTTTTCAAATCCAATTCTAAACAAACAAGATGTTAAAATAACTGCATCTTCTTATCTTAACACACCTCCAGCACCTATTTTTTTACATTAACATTTAATTGATTAACAACGATTCAAATGTAAACTAAATTTCTAAATTAATTCAATAATTCTTTTTTTGCTTTTCTAAGCAGCCTATATTAAATCAAAGAAATCTTCTATTATTAATAATTCATAATATTAATTTACAGTATTATGATAAGTCTTTAGTCTCTTATGTTATATTAGTGTTTAAAATAGATATTATGAAACTGGTTAGAGTATTAACATTATAGCCAATAAACTATATGCTTCATCAGGATTTTAATACAAATTTGATGTAAAAATAAATACTATTATATGCATAATTAATAATCTATTGTAAATGGTAGAATACTTCGAGAATCTAAATATTATTGTATTACATTTACCCAAATGGTAATTCAAAATATGCCTCATAAATTAAGACAAATAGAATTATGCCATGAATTATTCTACCAATCAATTAGTATAATGATTCAGCACTTTAATTTAAGATAGCCATTGGAATGATCAATAGTTGTGCATAACAATTATAATAAGTGAAATGTTTTCTTAATGACTATTCATTAAATTCAAAGTTGATAAAGTAGATATTTGAAATCAACAATGATACAGTTGATATACAAAGGATAATAGCAGATATCACAATAAGAAATAGATCACTTTGAATTAAAAAGTTCCAACCTATGTAATGCATCTGAGGTAAATAAAGAAACCATGTGAAATACAGGAAATAACAATTCACTAATTTTGTGGCAGACTTAATTTATGTTAGTTTGTACCTGTGATAATGATTTGGATATGATTGCCACTTTTTAATACTCATTTGTTAATTTTCTATGCAAAATTATTAGATAAGGTAATAAGTTTAAGATGGTAAGTATTATACCAGTCAGAACATTTACAGCATAGATATCTTAAAACAAAGGAGTTAAAACACATATTTCTGATATGTTTTTAATCAATCTGAAAACATTTTCATCATAATGTTGAGTGATGAAATGTGTGAGTTATAAATAGTAGATTAGAATCTAAAAAGTAATGAATTTGGCACTATTTAATGATGGTGACAAATTGGTCTAAATTATAAGATTCATATAGTCTCTAATCCATTACATAATTAATTAAATATTAAACTCATTTTTTTGATTTGGCTTACTTCTTTTTTTTCTCTTAAGACTCTTGAATTAATGGCATTTATGATTATTAAATCTATTATGAAGTTCTTGAATCTAATTTATTAGTATTAACAACAAGTAAAGGAAGATATTCTAAGACTTCATCATATGTTGGTAATTGAAACATTCTAGGTGAATGTAAGACTTAATCATTTGTAAAATCTCTTCTCTTAGTTTTGTTATATTTTTGAGATCTCAATTTCTTTAAATATTTGGCATAGATACTCATATCTTTTAAATATTTTCTTAATTTATCCTTACTATATGTTTCAATAAATATGCTTTAAAGTTGTCTAATAAATTAATTATCAAAATATACATGAAATTATCTTAATTTTATAATTAAATGATATATGGTTAGTATATTCCTTTTTTTGATTGATCTAATCCATTATAATACTTTAAGAATTATTCTTTAAAATACTTATTCCAAAGATTATGAAGCATTTATTTATAAGATTTGTATCTTAACAAAAATTCTAAAAACATAACCCTAATCTTTGAAATCTTAAGATTAGTAATAAGCACTTGACTCTTTAAATGATAGATTTCAGCTCTTATTTTTAGATGTGGCACAATCTTTTCTATATGCAACTTAACTTATTTCTAATATACAGCTTTACAGAAACCTTATAATACTCTATAATAATGTTTGCATTATAATTTACAATTTAACATCGAAAAATACTCTATCATAAATAGTAACTCCTTTAATTGCACTTAATCTCTTATGTATTCTTTTCATTATTCTTTTAACCTAAAATGCCATCAAAGTAGATTAATTTTATGCTTCTATTTTATGTTAGAACATAAAATAAATCTTAGTACAAATCAAAGACATATAAATATTATTAAACCAATGTGTACAAACTCTATTTTTTAGATACTTTTTTGATTAAACAAAATTATGTCTTTATCTAATAATTTTACTTAATTCTTTAGTTTTTTATTAATATTCTTTCCTTTATTATTCATTTTAACTCATCAATTTTTTTCTACATAAAACATCTTCTATTCTATTATCTCCTTATGTCTTTTTTAATTCTCTAAAACTTTTTTAATGTTCTTCATTATATTCAACTACTTTCTAAATATTTTCTTTGATTAAATCTTTAAACATTCCTCGTTATCTTAATTTCTCTTTTCTTCTTTTTTTAATCTCTTCCACTTAAGCATTTAATAAATCTGAATTCATTCTTTCCAATTATTAATGATGAACACTTCTTATAAATAATGATGATGGTTCTATTTTCCTTTAAATAGTTTAAGGTCTTTTCATCAATCGACTACCAAATTAAAACTTAAGTTTGACTTAGGTATCTAAATCACAAACCATACTAATATATATGTATTCACAATGAAATGATTTAGATTCATCTATTTTATATTTCCATCCCTTCACTGAAATAATCTAATCACATGAAAATTTTGTTGGAAATGGATTGACAGACGATACAAATATTTTAAAATTTGTGGTTTCACTTTAATTCATATAAAATTATAAAGGAACTGGTTATTATTTTGAACGTAGTTTATAATAGTAAAATTCCATTTGTCTGACTGATTAAACATTCCATAAATCTGGTCGTAATTCAATAGGATGCTAAGTTATTTTATATAGAATGAATATATCATACTTTGTCTTGTTAATAATTTATCATAATTTCTCCTAGTCCAAGTTATTAACTACTTATACGTACTGGTTATTCACTCTATTCGACTCGAAAATCAAGGACTTTATCCCTCTTATAAAAATTGTTTATACTCGGCTTGTGAAATCAATTAAATTCCTCTTTGAAATTCAGGAATCATTTTTTGAGTGATGTATGCCATTTAATTAAGTATTTTTGATCTAGATTTAAGTGATCCTGTAGACTTTGGACCATTTTTATAAGTAGGACAATCTCGAAATATATCATTTTCTGAATCATGACTAATACAACTCAAATCATTAAAATAAGGATTCTATGAAATATACTTATCCTCATGATTTTGATTGTTATTGTTATTGGAAATAACTTGTGATTGTAATTGTAAATGGAAATTAGACTTTTACAAAATTGACGATTTAATTGATGACTCGAGAACACTTTATGATTGTAATAAATTTCGTCTTGTAGTTGTTCTGGTTACAAGTTATTTATTTTACATATATATAATTATATTATAATTTTAAATGTCTCGGAAAGGACAATCAATAATTAATGAAGAGGAAGAAATCCTAAAATCTATAAATAAAGATGACAAATCGATGATCTCTGAGAATAAGAAAGAAGAAGAGGTTGGTAATGGAGAAAAGTCAGAGAAAGAGAAGGATTCCTCAAACAATGTGTTAGATGAAATAGAGTAAATTATAGCTAATGATGCTGGCTTTTGCACAAATTTGTATATATAATTCAAACTATATTTAGTATGCTACTTATTATCTATGTTGTTTTAATAATTCAAATTTATTTAGAATATCGTATACCAGAAGTACATGAAACTAGTTAGAGTATCAAGAAGTACATCTCTTAGAGGTATCTTTCTTAATCATTTAAATAATAGAATAACAACATAATTAAATGAGATACAAGATGTTCCCATCATATATAGTGAGTACCTCGAAAAAATTATTTATTATATGCATGATCATTCTGAAGATCGGAACCGTTTTAGTCTTTTATACAATCCTTTAATTGAAAATTCAAGTTAATATAACGAGAGTTAATATATATTTTTGGAAAACTATAATTACTATCTTTGTAGTGTAGTTTCTTTCACTCTCAAACATGTAGATGAAGATTTAGTATATAATTTTATCTATCCAAAAGGAATCAGATGAATTTGTTAGGAAAATTATTACTATACAGAATACTGATATATATACAATGGCAGAGACTATGTTGGGTAATTAATCAGATATGAACTATGCCAATCAAATCAATATATCTGAAATTGACAAAAAGTTTTTACCTAATATGACTATTGAATGTAAAATATTTAATAAAATCCATATTAGAATCTGAAGGGATTTTTTAAGTAAAAATGTTCTTTACAAATGCTATGGAATAAACATTTGCTTCAGAGATGTTATCATTACTTCAAAGTCAATTTGATTTTTCATCTCTTTTCATTTTAGAACATGATATTTACATAATTAATCCTTTGACTGAAGTAATTCTAAAACTTTCTAATTAATTTGACATTAGTAACCAAGGCAGAATTAGATATCAATAAATTATAGATTATGGAGTATATTATTATTAGGGTAGTAATGTTTAATCAAATGTTGTATTTGGAATAGTAACAAAATCATTATTTGCAGCTGTGGTGTTCTTTTAGATTGTTTATACAATTGGTAAGGTATTTTAATATATTTAATATTTAATAGAGAATATTTTTCATGGTTATTAAATTTTTATCAACCAGAATATTTGAATTTGAATTTGACTTACTTTTCATTACAGCATAAAGAACATTAAATTTCATTTACATTATTGTTTGGTTTTTAATGTTTTCATAATTTTAATCAATTTCAATCACTCCTCAAATTACTTAAGAATAAATAATAGGCATAGATAATTATCTTCAAAATTCAAATACTTATCAATTATTTGCAATTACAACTTTTATAATAACAATTTATGATATAATTAAGATTATGTCATCATTCTTTCCTACTTTTGGTGTCTTAATGTATACATTTATTGTAGCTGGAAAAGATATGATTATTTTTATATCGGTATAGATTATATTTGATAAATTTAGTTCACAGCAATGGCCTTAATTAGTTTTATTATGATATCTAATATAATATTTGGACCTTTGAATGATGAAATAGCTACTTTAGGCAATGCAGCATATGTATGTTTTGAATTTTTCTGTGGTAATTTTAAATTTGCTTTTCTTGAATAAATAGTTCCTGGTATAGGTTTTATTTATTCTCTACTCTTTTTTATTGCATTCAATCTTATTCTTTTACCTTATTTTTATGGAATCATCATTTTAACTTATGGATAATTAAGATAGAAATTATAACTCACTACTTAAGCTTTGGCTGAAATAGCTGCAGATAAATCTACTGCTGCTACTATGAAATGGATTAATTTAGTATTCTTTGTACCTCCTGTGACTGAAGAACAATAATTAAGAGAGAAATAGAAGAAAGAAGAAGCAGAAAGAAAAAAGAAAGAAGAGGAAGAAGCAAAGAAGAAGAAAAAAACAAAAACTCCTTTATCTTCAGGATAACCTCCTTTATCTGATTAGAAATCAATTAAATCTGGTAATTCAATAAAATCAGTCAGACCAGATTAAATGAGAGGTTTATTGAAGAAGAAGAAGAATGATGATGCTTCATCTCCTTAAAAAGCTCAACCTAATGCAGCTAAACCTGAAGAACCTAAAGAAAAAGAGAAAGAATTAACTTTAAAGGAAATCTTTATGTATAATTTTCAGTAGTTAGATATTAAGAATGTTGTTATGAATTTTATAGGTTTAGGATAAGAAGATTTATTAACAAAATAATAAAGAATTAAGGAGATTAAAGATAAGAAAGAAGAAATCATAAAAAGATAGACTGATAATAGAAAGGAGATGAAGGAAATGAAAGAGAAAAATTTATTTACTAATTTAAAAGATGGATTTTTACATATCATTTTTTTGATTTTCCTAATTATTGGATTTTAAAATTAAACTCTAAAATCAAGCACATTTAATCAAGAATATTATATCAGATCTTTTTTTGATTCTAGTTTATTTCCAGGAGTAAAACACTTTAAAAGTAATGATATAATTCTTGATGACATGGAATCTTCTAGAGATATTGATAGTTATATTAAAAATATCATCTTTAGTACTGCAGGAGATGATTATGATAATAATTATAGTAAAGAATAATTAAGAGATTTTGATGTTTTTGTTGGTTATTCTCCAGTTAGAATGACAATTAGATTATATGAAGGATTGAATGTTAATTTCTTTACTGAAAACAAAGATTTAGTATTTAGAGGTAGGTCTTCATCAGATTTTTCACCCTCTTCAGGAGAGTCTTCTGGAGAAAAGATGGAAAATCTTTATAAGAGTGGGATAGAATATCAATACAGAGGAAAAGGAATTCCAAGTGCAGCATATTAAGCAGGAGGGTATACTTTTTAATTTTAGAGTGAGATTAGTGGAGCTGTAGAATAATATTAAAAAATACAATCTGATAGTTTTTTTACTGTTTCTGTATTAATTTAAATAAATATTAAAATTAGACTGGAATAATTAATTGTGAATTTATCATTTATAATCCTCCATAAGATTTATATTCATTTGTAACTGTAACAATATACATTAAGGCTACTGGTTCAATAGAACATATAATTACTTTGAATGTATATTTTTTAAATTAATTATATTAGACATTTCCAATAACTTTATATTCTGGTAGCAGACTTACAAGAATTGTTTTTGAATTGATAGTATTGTATTTCCATATTAAATTTTGGAAAATGTTTTTAAATTAATGGAAAGAAGTTTGGAATCATCCAAGTGCAATTGATTTTACTCCTTATGATTTACCTTCAGATAGAAAATTTTCATTTGTTGAAAGACATTTAAATATGGATTTTTCAGATAAAAAGAATGATTAGATTGTTAATCTATTATTTGGTATAGGTAAGAGAATTTATGGATTTATTATGCGTTTATTGACAAGTCTTAAAATAATGGTTTAGTAGACATTTTTTAATATACTTTTAATAACAGGTATATTATTGATGTTTATACAAATAATATATTGGCTTTAGATTGTTTTTAATTAATTAAGAATGTCTTTTGATTATTATGAAGGATTTCTATTTGTAAAATATTAAAAATTATAATTTATTAGGCAGACAAAGAACCACCTGGAATGTTCAATGATTTTTAAAATCTTGCTTCATTGTTTTAATTATACAATACAATGGCTTCCTTTATATTATTTAACGAGTATATTATATATTAATAATAAAATAGGATGATAAGAATTATGGTTTATTTTTCATTTTCTGCAAAATTGAGTTTAGTCTTGGATATTATAGCAAGTGCAAGTATAGATATTGTATTCTTTATGATTATGTTTTGTTTAATTGTTTTTGCTTTTGCTTGTGTAGGTGTATTAAGTTTCGGTTATATAAATGGATCATTTAGAGACTTATATTTATCAGTGATATATTCATTACAGATAGTGAGTTAAAATGCAAAGATGCATAAATCAGATGGAGAAAACTATTAAGCAAGTGTAATTTTATATTATTTTCTTATTAATATTGTGATTTTATTGGTTTTGATTAGAATGTTAATAGCTATTTTAGATGGACATTTCATAGAAATTAATAGTGAATAAACAGAAAGATTGGGTTTGGTAGATACTATTATGAGTATATTAAGAAATGAATATGAGAAATTAAAGAATGAAGAAGATGATGATGATGGTATTAATGATGAAGATGATGATGATGAAGAAAAGATATATTCAGAATGGGCTATATTAAATTGGATTTATAAGAAAATTCATGATATTAAAGAGTTAACTTTATTGATTTATAAATATGGAGAGGCTAAATTTAAGGAATATCGTACATTATTATTTGGAATGCTTTTTGAGAATGATGATAATAAGAAAGTTAGTCGTAAGAGTAGTATAAATGAAGAAGGTGGAGATGATGATGAGGAGGATGATAATAAATTAAAAATTGAATTAGATTTTGATGAAGATAAAAATATTACTGGAAATAGATAAAGAATTGAATCTGTTGAAGAAATTAAAATATATAATTCAGCAAATGAGGCTATAGTAAATTTATAAAATTTGACTGGAAAAAAATTAGCAAGTGAATAATTTAAAACAACTTAAGTTTCTACATGGATAGCTGCTTTGGAAAAAGGTATTTAAGATATTGCATCAAATTAATTGAATTTTTAATAATATTATACTCCATAACCAAATTAGAAAATGGATTGGATCATTTAATTTTAATTTTATGATTTTGAAAAAAAATATAAGGATTTAGGATTTGAAATTCATGGAGATGATTAAGGAGATTTTGCTTAAACTATTAAATAAGATTAATATATAGAAGCCACACATAATCTTATAGAAAAAATTGATACTCAAATTGCTAATCTTAATGTTAAATAATTAGATACATTTTCAAGTTTAGTTAGATCTATAGATTTTTTATTCTTTTTCTTTACTAATATAATATTAGTAAAGAATCCTGAATAATATTTAGAGAGATATTAAGTAAAAATTTAAGAATAAGAAAAATTTAAATAAAAATAAAAAACACTCAAATTATAATAATAACAAAAGAAAGGTAAGATAAAATAACCAAAACAACATAAAGTTGAATTTGATATTTCCCTTTTAGATATTTCTAATGAAGTTAGGTATTTTGATGTAGATACTGAGAAGATATAAAGATAAGGAAGTAGAAAGAAATCTGTATTAAGATCTTTAAAATCAATTAAAACTGTAAATAATTAATAGAATAATCAATCTATTGAAATATAAACTGAACCTAGTAAATTTGCTAAATTTAATGCAGAACATTTGAAATCTATGAATGCTTAATAAATTATAAGTGTATTTAGTAAATTGGTGTGTTTATTCTAAATATGGTAAGAATTAAAATTGAATGAGAAAATTATATTATGGTTTGGTAATGTACTTCATACAAACAAAAAAGAGAAACAAAATGCTTAGCCTTTTTTTTGTATATATCATAAATTAGCATTTTGGAATGAAGCAGGATGGGATAAAAGAACACTTTAAAAAATTAGTGTATCTGCTGATGATCATAAGAAACTCTATGATGATTATAAGGATTAAAATATAGTACCAGAATTTTAGTTTATTTTATTTTGGGATGTTTTAGGTAATAATTGATTATAATATTTCATTAGGTAAAATGTAAGTAATTAATTAAAAGTCTAATGATAAATAAGATGCAGATGAAGAAGCTGATGAATCTAATTAAACAGATTTCTTACCAATAAGTAGTATTTAAATCTAATTTGTTTCATGTATTATAATAATATAATTAATTATTAGAATTATTAAGAGGAAAAGGTTCAAAAGATCTTTTAGTTTAAGTTGAAAATGCAAATAGTTTAGAAAAGAAAGTAGCAATATTGAAAAGTAATATTGATTATAATTAAAATAGCTTCCCATTTATAGAATGATCATAAAATAATTATTTGGATTTTAATGAATCCAATGGAAAAGATGGAAATGATATTACAATAAGAAAAAAGGTAATAGGTTCAATTTATGATTTTAATGTTATTAGAAGAATTATATGATAATTTCATTATGTTAGAAAAGATAGAAAAGGATTTCTTTAATTAACTAAATTCAAAAATTTATCTTTCATTTCATAATTTTGCTGAATTTAATGCATTATCTACTGCTCTTAATATAAGGAATAAATATACTCAATAATCAGTTAATGATGCCAAAGATTATACTGATTACATATAGTTTTTAGAACTTTAATTGGCTAATTCAAATTAAGCATTAGCTAAATATAGTGATTTCTTAATTAAGGAAGTAAAAAAGGTTAAGAGTAAAGGAGTACTAAAATCTAATTTGGGTAATTTAATAAAAGGTTAAGGATAACCATAATCAAGTAAAGATGAATAGAATAATATATAATAATAGATAAAACCAGATATTTCTAAGTTAAATTAAAAATAAAAATAAGTAACTATAAGAGAAGATGCAAATACATGATATAATTATAAATTTAAAGTTTACTTAATAAGATAATAAAAATAATTTTTGACACATGAAATAAAATCAAATCTTAACAATTTAATCTTCTTTTATTAATTTCTTTTATGAATATATTTCATTAAAATAATTTCTTCCTGGTGTAAATTTTAATTAAGATCCATCTATAAAATTATCTAAATAATGTCCATTTCTATCAAAATTAATATTAGATACTTGCTATTCAAAACATTACTTACTTTATTTATTTGATTTTTAATTCTTTAAAAATTCTAATATACTATATTAATAACCATCAATATAAAAATCTAAACATATTCTTTTACATACAGGACAAGACCATTTCTTTTAAGTTAATGATTCAATAAATTTACAAAAACTATCTAAACAAAAACATTAAATATGTTCACATAAAATTCCTCTGCATGGAATTTTGATTGGTAATGTTGTAATTTAACATATTAAACTTACTGAAATCTTATTAACTGCAATATCTGCTGATTAATTAAGATTAGAATACATACAAATATTATCTTTCATCTATTAAGTATTTACCCATTTTGATTTATCAAATTAATATTATTAAATTAATTCTGTAGAACTAATCTCTTATATAATAAATGCTCCAAAGTAAAATAATTAATCTGTTTTTATTTAAAAATTCTTTCTATCATTTAAATTACTAGATTGAGAACGTAAAACAATTCGATATTATCCTTATTTTGGATTCTTTACTGTATAATAATCATCTTTTCTATATTTTAAAGAACTATTAACTTTCAATGGTTTAAATTAAACAACTTTAATTCCATTAATCATTAAATCACCAATATCAGGCCAAGATTATTCATATCTATAACCATCCAATCTTATACATCTAATATCCAAAGATTAATTTAATTCAACTGTATTTAATGCAAAATTCATTGTTGTACTCTTTTCTGATTGAGATCTAGTTTCTAAAGTTAGACAAGATAACATGCTTTCTACTTTATGTAATGGATCCATATTCATTAATATACATTATGGACATACAAATGATGGTTGTCCATCTTTTATTTTATATCTTAAACAAGTGTTATGAAATTAAAATCGACACATAAAACAAACTAAAATTATAGCATTTGGAATAGATTTAGGAGTTTTTGTTTTTTAATAGATTGCACAAATACATTTAGAAAAATCATTTTCTTTTATTTGTTATTCCATTTTCTTACATTATATATTTCTCATTTCATCATATATTTTTCTAAAGTGATTGAGAACATTATAATTCACCTTTTCTATTATCTTTTTTACTTACTTAAATTTCTTAATAAACGGAGTATTTATTGGGATAAAACTTTGTGAAAATGCTACTGCTAATTCATTATTTGAAGGTAAAGGTAGATTCTTTGCATAATCTAACAATTAAATAATATATTCTTTTAATGCTTATTGAAGATCTGAATTTATCATAACTAAATAACATTATAATAATGAATCTTCTGACAATGAATGCTTATGCTTCTCTATTTAAATCTCTATTTAAGTTATTCTAAACTTTTCTATTTCCTCTTATAGATTTTTAATCATTATTTTGAATTATTTCACTTAAGTCTTCCATTACTAACATAATCAAAAAAAACCTGAAAATTATTTGGACATATGTAAAAAAATTATATAAAATAACTTTACTATATATATATATATTAAATCAACTAAATTATTTAAAGAACTTAATAAATAGAATTTATAGTATCCATAAATCATTTAGCTAATAAAAATCATGTTTAAATACTTCAAATAGCATTTCTTATTATTGCATTTTCATATGATTCTTTTACCCATTTTAAATATTACTATATTTATTCATTTATATGGACTTTATTTGTATCAACTAAACCTAAACTTCTTCTTTATTATTCATTCATTTGAAAAGGAGCTGGAGTTAGTTATAATATGGATAAATTAGGACTTCTTTGACTTTAATTATAACCATAATATTCCAAATAAATATTTGAGAATTCTTAAAGTACTTTTTTTAATAATTCAGTTTCAAATTAATATTATTCATCATTTGGTATTGTCTTTATAACCTTAATCAATAATGTCTAAGCTATGAAACATTATTATTCAATTTAAATATTGAATTCAGCAATTTTCTTATAAAATATTAATTTTATACATTTTTCAAATAGATGATCATTTATTTTATTTACATTTAAGTATTCATTTATTCCTTAAATTAAGCAAAGATCTTATGTTAATTTTATTATAATTCCTATATTGTTTTAGTTTAAACATTTTATTCATTATCATTAAATAGATTTTCTCTTTATTCCCTTTAGTATTCCATAACCTTTTATTTATGAGAACTTACAATTTTAGCTATCAATTCTCTAATAAATAGTATTTAACAACTTTTACTTTTTATTTTTTAGAAAATATTTATGTCTAAATGAATAAGAATTCTTATCAATCTTTTATTTATTAAACCCATATTGATTTAATTATCTATTAATGTTTTTAGGATACTTAATACCTAACAAAGCTAAAGAAGTTTGATTATTTGTAATGTACACTCAAAATTGATTTAACTAATAAATCCACATTTACAATTTCAAAGGCATCACCTTCATTGTTCCATCTAATAACATTGATGTTTTCTTCACCCTTTGTCTCATTAAATTAACTACTTCAAGTATTTCAAATAGACTTATTAAAAACTTCGGACCCTTTCTTTAATTCATTAATCTGCAATATTAATATATCAATTAAATAGGTTTGAGTAATACGAGCTTTGATATTTTTATGTAATTTAATAAATTTTGATTGTTGATAATTTTCAAATCGATCTAAATGAAGAAGGAAAAAAAGAAATAAAAATTAAAAAGTTCTTTAGATGAAAGATTTATTGAATTTTATATTTAAGTCAGAGTACTATGCGAACATTATTTAGTCAAATTTAATAGCGCCATAATTAATATTGTTTTGATATTTTCAACAATTTAAGAATTGAGCTTTTTATTATTGAATTATCAAGAGGGATATTTTGAAAGAGGAATCAATTTTTTTACATTTATTAGAGAAATTTCTTTAGCTTCTCGAATAAAATTAAGTTCAAATAATGAATTCAAAGATTTGAGTTACTTAATACCATTATGTATCACATTACTATATTAAATTGTACTGATATATTTATTTATCATATATTTGGGGAAAAATAAAAAATAGTATAGATTGAGTGAATTTTTAAAAACTTAGAATAGATTAATTTAAATTCTTTTAAAAATATTGTCATATTATCATTCATTACTTTATTACATACTTATAATTCCAATGATGGAATTTACATTAGAATCATTATTTCATAATGCATAAAGCTCATCTATTAATATGATACATTTATCATTTTCAATAATTACACTAATATTTGTGATTGCAAATTTCTTAATTTAATTGTTTTGTAATTTAGAATCTATATCAATTACACCTTTAAATTTATAATTGTTATAAGCAACATTTAGTAATTATTGGAAATCTTTATTAAATCTAATAATTATTGTTATTGATTAAATGGAGAGTTCTAATTTAACTAAATTTTATCTAATTTTTAGTATAACTTTAATTAAACAATCCAGTAATTTTTGGGCTTTAATATGGAGTTATCCAAATTTACATCATAGATAAAAAGTTGAAATTTAATTTAATTTCTTTCAAATAACTATAGCAATCATATTATTTATTAATTAGGTTTCAGAATAAAAATAAGATACATATGATGTATTATTAATATTATTAATATCACCAATATTAAATGAAATGATATATAATTACGAAATTAAATAACATGAATCATTAATGATAACTAATAGTTCTAAAATTACAGCTGATATGTTATAATATAAAATTGGTAATATTATTTATGAATATGGTAATTTATAATCAAATTACTTATAAGAAACAAAAAAGATTACATATATTCATTACATTAAATAAACTCATTTAGATGAATGTGAAGATTCTAAATGTCTATGTAGAAGATAGATTATATCATTTGAAGATGTAATTAACTTATATCTTAAAGATTAAGTTAAGAACTTTGATATTATGATATCAAGAATAAAAGATGATTCTGCTAGATAATCATATTTTTTACATTATTTATCTCTAATTAATTATCTAGGATTGAATACTAAAGCATTTTAATAATCTAATTTTTTAGCCTAACTTGATAGTGAATAAATTCAATTTAGTTCATCTGCTACTCATGGAGTTAATTATTAATTTAATCACTAATAAAGTGATAGAAAAGAATAAAATAATAGTTCAGATGGTAAAAGTCATTCTATGCAAAAATCTAAATCAGGAGGTGATAAAAGTGCATAAAGTACTACACATATAAGATTAAATAATATGGGATTTATTGCTAGATAAAAACTTAATTTAATTTAAGAATAGATTAAATAATCTATGAGTATGGGATTCTCTAAATAATCTGCTTAAGTTTCTGAAAACTTAGAACATGCTGTTAAATTATTTCTATAATCTGAAGATAATAATAAAAGATTAAGAAAAAAAGTAGTTAAGATGATTAATAGAAAAAGAGAATTTTTCAATAATTTAAATTAATTAAGTAATGAACTTAATATTTTTGAAGCAGGTAAGAAACTTCTTATTTAAATGAATACTCTTGAAGATTAATTATATAAATTATATGATTAATTTCCAAGTTAAAAAATGCAAGCACTTAATACATTTTATTAATCTGAAATTATGAATAATTATTTTTCTGCATATAAATTAGCAACAATAGCTTCAATATCAGATGAAAAATTGTTAAAAATGTAATCTTAAACCAATTTTGATTTATTTTCTAATAAAATAGATTATCTAATCATTGGATTTGATTAATAATCACATAAATTATCAATAAGAAGTGGTTCAAATATGATTCACTAATTTTTTGGTTTATCTTAAGATTCATTTAAAATGATCTCCTTAATTAATTCAATATTACCATAAGGATTTGAAATAGTACATGAAAAATTAGTAGCTAATTTTTTATAACATGGAGTATCAAAATATTTTAGATAAATTAATTTGAATTTTTGTTAATATCAATAAAGGTTTATAAAAACAGTAGATTTTTTTTATGATATTAATTTTATGAATTTAGATGATTTAACATTTGCTTGTTTCCTTTAAAATGTTGAAACTCAAAGTGTTTATCTATTTTCTTTATCAAATCACAAAGTATCAGGAATATCAAAAAACTTTATCAATAAATTAGGTTATAGTAATAAATTAAATAAAGAATTGGCTTAAGCTTTTCAAAGAGTTCCATTAAGTAAAGTATTTCCTAAAATTTCTTTAATACTTGAAGCCAACATCACTAAAGCCTCAGATGTTAATTAAGATATAATTGATGTGACTTAAATTAGTGAATATTCAATTTTAATGTATGTTCCTATAGCTTTACTCTTGGAGAATAATTCAAAAATAAATTGGGAAAATTAGGATCATTTAACTAATTATTAAGTGGATTGTATTTTACATATAAGAAATTTCAAAACTGAATTGAGTTATATTATAATAGAAATCAAAGAAATAAAAAAATAATCCAGAACAGAAAATACAACACCTGAACCATAAATGACATTAGGATATAATTCAAATTAAGAATTTGAAAGTTTTAATGCATATGAAATTGATCAAGAAGATATAGAATATGCAGTAAATATGCCTAAGGCAATTGAATTATATGGTTTAGAAGATTAAACAGCAAATTTAGAAAATTTAGATAATTTGGATCAATTTGATTACAATATTAATAAATTGAGAGTTAATGATAAAAGTTTAAATTAATCCTATTAATAACCATATCAAAATTAATCTATGATGAGTCCAAAAGATAGTGGATTAAGATTGATTGAAAATAAAAATCCAGATTTTAATGTAACTTAAATTAAAAGTAAATAATTAGGTAATAAATAATAATTCTTTAAATCTGTTGAATAGATTGAATAAGAAGAGTAATCTTCATCATTTTAATAAAGTAGTGAAATTAAAAAACAATAGATGATAGAAAATTAAGTAGATAAACTATAATATGATGATATAGATTAAGAATTATAAGAAAATATTAGAATGCAAATGTAAATGGATTCAAAAGAATAACGAATTGTTCATATTGATGATATTGGTTCATAAGTAAGTTCAATTGCAGGATTGAAGAAATCAAAATACTCTAAAAAATATGATTTAATTGAAAAATTGATTAATTCTACTAAATTCTCAAAGAAATTTAAAATAATGTTGGTGTTTTAAACATTAATGTTTAGTTTATTTTTAGTATATAGTGGAGTAATGCTATATTATTCAAATGATGATTTAAATAGATTCTTAGAAGAATTAGATTTAATTTAAATAAAGTCTAATATAATTGGGCCTGTTAATAAATACATAGTATCTTAGAATTCATTAACAACATATGCTGTTCTATTACTTTTATATCCAAATATAACATTATAAAGTTAAATAGGGAAAATGTAATATTCAATTAAAGATATAAATTATACTTACTTTGAACTTAAAGATAGTTTTACAAAATAGCTATCAAATCCTTATTTGAATCCATTTTTTGAAGATAAGTACTTCAATATTATGGTAGGTAAGTATCCTAATACTAGCAATTATTCAATATCAGCAAGGGAATCAATGTATTTATATTTAGAAGCTTGTTACAATTTTGTCAATATAGATTATCTTAATATTATAAATTTAGATATTACTTAAGGGTTTTTAGTATTCCTATATGCAAATTATTAAACATTTGTAGAATAATTGTAACTATTAAATGAAGAGATGGTAAATTACTCAATAATTAGATCAGGTACTGTATCTGAAAAATGGAATTACCTTCTAATTCCAATAGTAGTAGTTTGTTTTTTCTTATTGTTAATAGGTTTTACATTTTATAAAGCTTATTTAAATTAATATGATAATTTTCTTTAACTTTTTAATTTTATAGATGTAGTTTGGTTACAAAGAGATATAGATAGATATAGAGGAATAGCCTCATTATTAATAAAAGATTCAGATGTATTATTTAAATATTAATTTGATATTGATATAAAAGAGAAATTTTTAGCAGCAGAAGATATAAGGAAGGAGAAAATTGCTTAGAATTAAAAAAATAATAAATAAAAATAGAAAGGATAGATTGCTAATTTGAATTAAAAGATGTCAATATTACCTTCACTATCAACATTTACATTTATATTTGGAATTTGTTTTATTTTTTGTTTTATTACAAATTCTTTGGGAAGAAATTACTTTTAAAAGTATCCTGATACAACAACATTTTTTAATTCTCTATCTGATTTATGTATAGCTGTTAGTGGAGTATTTTCTATGAGAGAAGTTACATATTATTAAAAATTTCCATTAGGTACCATCTTTTACTTTCTTCCTGATAAAAATGCAACATTTTTTGTTCAAAATTTCTTTGATTAAATAGATATTATCAATAATTTCTTATCTCTTATAGTTTAGATGGATAGATCCAAATATATAACATCTGATGATTTCATTTCAGAAATGGATTCAATGATGAGCACAGATGTTTGTTAATTTTTACCAGCTGTAAGTTTTTAGATTATTATCAAAAGAATAAAATCGAGATGGCTTAAAATCATTGTGATGCTGTATATTAAGGAGTTTTGCGTAAAGGATTTTAGGCTGCAGG